AAATTGCCAAGACCCGTTGAAAGGAAGAATCAGGCGAATCGAGTCAATTTGTCTTCCGCTTCTCGCGTCGTTGGTCAAAAGATCGCACGAGCAGAGTCGCGTCGTTATATTAGTCGAGATATTATCCGCCAACGGTGTCTCTCGGCACGTTCGTTTGGGACCGAGGACGACCCAGTGTTCCAAAAATTCATTTCGGGCAAGCACGACTCGTCTCTGACTCTCATCGAGAGAGACAATTCCAGAGACTCTTCGCTAGATTCGCGATGAAGCACGAGGTTCGACGACTTGTTCGTATTCCCATTAACGACGGAATAGGCGGGGGGAATGAACGGGACAGAGGAAAGATTCATTTTATGGCGTAACGATATCGCAAGAATTAACGAGTACGCGCCGATTGGAAACCGGCGGAGGCTCGATAACCGACGGCGATTCTTATTCCACTTCCGCCACCCCCTCTTTCGAACATTTTCCTTTCATCTTTTCGCCATCCACGAGCAACGACGAATGGCCCAGATTTTAACGGCCTTCCTTTGACGCGGCGCGGTTAAACGAATGCAATTTTCGATATGGAAGGATGGAAGGCAGCTACTTCGTGACAATTTAGTTCAGACCCCGAAGGAACAGGCGGAGACGCTATAAATAGGGCAGCAATATTCATTCGCGAACAATTTGGCGCTAATTCCGCTGCCGGAAATGCTATTCCGTCGGCACGCCGCGCCGGAAATGAACCGTCCTCGATGTATTTTATTACGTCCGATGCACTTTACTCGGCTGCGAATTTTTATTCCGCTGAAAAATATGGGCAAACGAAGTTTTCCCGCCGGTTAATTGCAATAATAGATTCTAATTGCGAGTCGAATTGCAAATCGGCGAGTTGGTAATTAGTAAACGAAATGCGAAACGACACGGGATAAATGGGACAAATAATTGATATCGAAGCGATATTTAGCAAATTGCGGATAATTAGTCGCCAAGCGTAAGTTTCGAATTTAATTTGAAATAATAGTTTCACTTCGATTAATTGTGAATGAAAATTATAAATTATAAATTATATAACGGGGGACACGGCGAGCTCGTACACGGTGTTTCGGCAGGGTATATTTCGAAACGAGGCGAAGTAAGATTTTTCGTGGAAAAACGTCGTTAGCTTCGACGCGTCGCGACGCTCGGGATGGAAATTCAGAATAGTCGACGCCGAAGTGCTATTAAGATAAAAAGACGGTGACGCTTGGGAGTGGCCGATAGGCTAGCCCGATAATTTCAAACGGGAAATGAGATTTGCGTAAATGACGTAACGTCGGAGGTAAACGAAATTATGCTCGTCGAAGTCGAAGGAACGTTGAATCGCTCTGAATAAGTATCGAGGAATCAGCGATGGTGATCGATGAACTGTTCGCTCGTCATCCTATCCACGATGACGTCGCTGTGTTCCTCTTTAAGCACGGCGTTCCATTTCGACTGACAATCAGTCGATGAATTTTCCGGTAGAGAAACTAAATCGTTGTGCATTCCTTCGGTCGTTTATTATCATTTTCGTCTGATTGCTTGGCTGTGAAAGGGAGAGGGGTACGAAGGAAAAATGTTGCTCGTACGTGAAACTCTCGATTGGTCGGATTCGTACATTTTTCGGGTGTTTGTGGGACGAGTATTGGATGATTTTAATCTGGTTCGAACGTGTATGGATGAATTTCGCACGGAGATAGAAAAAGTGTCTCAATGATATTCAGTAAAACATGTATATAACAACATTTAATTGTCTGTCTTATTTCGGAGAGATATGTTTAAGTTGACGATTCACTGCGTATCACATTCGCTCGATCGGGGATCTAAGAATCGGGAGGAGAGTCTCGTGAGCGTTTTATCGACAGAATCGTTTCGCGTTCCACCTCCGGATGTCAGACCCCCGATCGCAAAGAGGAAGTCAACGTGTTTCCAATTGCTACGCCAAGTGTAGAAACGTCTAGATCGATTAAGTAAATAAAATTTATTTATTGAATAGTGGCACACCAGTGATGACGCGACAGATTAGTTATGAACTGTTGAACTCTCTTCCGACCAGCACCTCACGCTCCAGTTCATTCCCTCTCGGCAATGTAATATGGTCGCAATAATATCCCCTTATCTCCGCGAACGTTTCCGCTTTCCAACTTCGTTTCATCGACGTTTACGCGATTGCGATGATTTCTGGTCAGCCGACTGAACGAATCGTGCCCGTGATTTATACGTTTCCGATCTAGCTAAGACGAAATTCCCAACTCGAACGAACCGGAACGATAGAGAACGGAGAAAGAAGAGAACGGACGCGGCGTCGCGACGTCGGTTCGATAAACCGACGTGTCCCGCTTTCCACGAGGAAGGGTCTCTTAATTAATCGACGCGGATGAAGAATTCATTTGTCAACGGTGGGATTAGCGTTCTTCCGGCTCGCAATTACGCGAGATCCCGCTCCTAATTCCAATCATTTCGTTAGCCCTTCAAAATTTCTTGTCGCGTCTTTTCCCTCGCTCTCGACCAAATGAACTCATCATCGACGACAAGATAAATCCTCGGCAGAAGTATCAATTAATTTCCGCAACCTCCAGTTACGTTCCCGTTGTCACAGCTCGTAATCGCGATATTTATCATCTCCTGCTCTCAGAGATGCGTCATCTTCGAGACAACTCGCGTCGTGTCGCGTCGCGTCGAAATCTTCTAACTTCGAAATCATCGTCACTGATTATCCTCTTTTTCCGACACGATTCGTTCCTCGCGAATTCGCATCTCGTCACGCACGCCCGACCATACGCCATCAATCGCATCCTCGTTTTCTCTCTTCCGTATCGTCGATAACGCTCGAATAAAACCGCCGAATGACGCGATCTGCCGTCTACTTCCAACCAACATCCTTCCTCTCCTATGTACACGGTGTGTATGCGTATGTGTGTGTTTGTTTCGTACTTGTAGAACGCGGTGCGCAACACTAAAAACGCCATCGGGAACGCGACCCGATAAAGGCGCCGGTTGTTCGAATTTCGTGAAAAAACGGTCACTGTACAACGTGTCGTATCGTCTCGATAATAAACCGTCGATCGTGTCAAAATATGACTAGGTCTCTTACGCGGCTACGCACTTACCTATGACATTACATGTAAACTAACAATACGGTGCGTGTATGAGCGCGTACACCTTTGCCAACCGTTCGTGTGCACGCCCATACGTGTGATTTCTTTGCAATCGTCCGGTGAGAGTGTGTGTCTATCGTGAATCACCAATCGCTGAACAATTCGATCATGTACAACCGTATCTATATAATACAGAACGCCGACGAATCAACCAACTATTCCTCCAAGTACGCTCCCTCCGTCGCTGGATCCTGCGTCTTCCGGTTCGCTTGCACATCCGCGACGGCCGATCTTCCGAGGCTGCCTGGCACGTCGAGAAATTCGTTCGCGGAATTTCCCTGCTCGCCCTTCCGCCCGGTTGTATAAAACGCGTGAAAAATTCTGGTCCGCGACGCAGTCAGACTGTGACCATCGGCGAGAAACGGCGCGGAAACAAAGGTCAGGGTGCAAAATCGTAACGCTCAGGTAACGCTTTGGAAATTTTGTACTACCATCCTCCGAAATCGTTTCGCTCCTGCAAGAAACGCTCGAGGTTGCCCTAGATGGTTTTCGTATAGTCTATCCGACGATAATTTCGAACACGATTCGTCTCGATTCCTCTAGATAACTCGTCGTCTTGGTCGTTTGGTCGAAAAGATGACAACGGTACACCCCCGTCCTAGGCCCTTAATCGTCCCGTGAACACCTCGACTATCTAATCTCTTCTCTAACCGCTGCAATCTATCCCACGTAATGCTTCGTCCCGTTTATCCTAAATGTAACTTCATTGTGCATGTTCCGTGAAGCTTCGCGATCGATTTCTTCGAATCGAAAGTTCCTTGGTCTCCTCGACTCCCAGGAATCGATCATCCGCATGGTGAACGCGAGGATCGTTTTAGGCCGTGAATACTCCGCCACGCGTCCAGGTTAAAGCTTCCTCTTATCAGTCCGCATCGCACTAGACCGTTCGACTATGTTAGGCTAGCTGTTGGCAGTGATCACTATGAGTTTTGGTCCGAGTCTAATCACACATTTCATGGTCGTTGATCGATGCAGCGTCGTTCTTTCTCGCGCTGCCCACACACGAGACTACTTCTTCAACGTGCCAAACGAGAACCCTCCTCAAGCTCTCGACCCCGTTTCTGGCTCCATTTCGATATGTTTAGCTTGAAAATCGGCCCGGACTCGTCGCGTCGGAGAGCCCGGACAATTGAATCGGCCGTTTTGCCATCGTTCTAACCCACCAGCCTCGAAAGTCCTCGCCTCGGGGAACGAGCGATCGCTCCCCAGTTGATTGGCGTTGCACACGGTGTTTCATTTGCTATTCAGCTTCGTCAGGCCGATGGAACGCGGCCGTTTATACGGTGACGCCTTTCGGTCCCCGTGCAATCGATCCTGTTTTATTACCGCGGTTCCACTATCATCCGCATCCGGCATGGAACAATACGGGCTATTCGCAACAAACACCTCGCTCCACGATCGATCCTCCATTCGTAATCAGCGCGACGATTTCATTCGCTACTCGTGCAAACTTCCTTCGATGTGCACCAATTGCTTTCTCCTTTACCCGCGCGGGATCGTCGACGCCCGCGTTTTCAGTCGCCTTTCATCTCGATCAACGTCTCTCTCCTTCATCGGTAACATGGTCCTCGATGCGATCTTCTCTAGAGACGGTCCATACCGACGGACCATATTTCTTTGGCACACGTCGCAGCTCGTCCACGCTCGTTGCGTACTTTTCTAAACGAATCTACATTGTTGTGTCGTCACGTGGACAGCCGATCGATCGATGATCCAGCGTCGCCGATGGCGCAGGCCGGGCCGCGTTGCGGTCGACTTAGCCGCCCCGGCGACTACATATGCTATAAGCAGGTCTCCTTCTGGTCGACCACGTTCACTACCACCGAGGCCTGGGTGGGCAGCTCCTTTTGGACGGGCACACCTGTCGGCACCTCTTCGAGTATTGGTCAAAGGGTTGTGGTCCTCGATACGGCCGCCGAGGGTGGTGGCGGCGGTGGTGGTGGCGATATCACCACGTCTGGCTCACCCGCCAGGTCGCAGTCGAATCTCCAGAGAATACTCTCAGGGTGGTCACCTCCTGGACATCAAAGGAATTTTTTCTCATAACCTCTCTACGAGCACTTCTCTTATTTTTTCCATCAAGGGACAGAAAGGAAGAGAGAGAGAGAGAAAGAGAGAGAGGAAGCGAGAAAAAAGTAGTTGCTTAAAGACTCGATCGCCATAAAATTACGTATAATCTTAAGCTAACTTACCTTGACCCAAGACGATGCTTGAAGAGCCCCGTCTCTGCCTCGGTGGGGGTGGTTGGTGCTTGTGCGTATGACTGTGACTGTGGCTGTGTGAATGTGAGTGGCAGTGAGTGTGACGTGTGTGCGTGGGCGTGGCTTTGCACGGTGGCGGTGGCTGTTGTTGCTGTTGCTGCTGCTGCTGAGGATGAAGATGAGGATGAGGCCTGTGCTAGGTGTTCCCGCCACGGGCCGCTGCCACTTGATCGAAGCTCAATGATTTCTTCATCTCCGTCATCGACAACGCACCACCCTCCTGCTGATGAAATAGAAAGCACGGGTGTTAGCTATATCGGGGCTGCGATCGGCGAACAACCCTCCACGGCCACCCTCTCCGCGTCTCATAGCCACGAGCGAGCGAGTTATTAAAAGTTGCGCGGCCTCGTTAAAACTTGTCCCAACTTTTTAGAAGCTCGTAAAGGAGTTTGCAGGCCCCGCCTCGCGTGGGCTATGTATCGAAATCGTTACATTTCACGGTCTCGTTCGATCCTTGCCCGCTGTCAACGAGCCATCCCAAATCACCCCTAGATCCCGTCACCGAGCGGTGCTCTTTCTCGGTTTTCCTCGATCAGCTCGCGTGCAATCCTCTCTCCGCTAGGATTTACGGAACTTGTCCGTTGTCGATTCGAATGGCCAACGTCCTGCTGCGACCCCTCGGAAATAACGACTTACTTGCGGCGAAAGTATGCGTGCACGCGGATCGAAATTCGATAAAATATCAGCCGGCAAAAGTGAGAGAATTTTCCCGAGGCTGCGGCTGGACATACAGGATGGATCCTCTTTTTTCGTGCGTTCCGCAGGAAGAGCGGCTAGGTCCGGAATGCGGGGACCGTGCGAAATGCACACTGCCGGTTCGATGGAACCGAGTTCCGCGCTTCCGAACCGGAAGCACGAAACGTTTCGGTTGTACAACAGAGGAGGCTTCTGCGGATCGAACGGTTCGACATCGAATTTTTCGACTTGGATTTTTCGAGATCCGTTCCGGCATTTTTCCCCTCGAGAACAGTGTCATCGCACTGCAATTTTGCACTTGCAACGAATTTATATTCCGCGTAATCTTATACGAAATACGCGAATCGGTGAGAGGAGGCAAAGAAACGGGAACGATGAAAAGTAGTTAAAGGAAAGGTGTATTAAGAAAGTTCTTTTAATCACTCTCCGCCGGTTTAAATCGTACAATGTCGATCGGGAGGCACCGATCCATTCACGTTCACCGTGAAACGACGGGAAACTCGTTTGCCTCGATCGAACTCCCCTTGATCGAAACGAATCAACGGATGAGACGATGGAGGAGGAGGATGATCAGCGAGCTTTCGAGAAATTTGAAACATCGCGATAAATATTCTCCGTGCATTGTGTCCCATCGATAAGCATGGATAGCGCCGAGGCTCTGATTAAAGTATCGGAAGAAGAAATGACCGGAATTCGAACGAGAACCAGAGTTTCTCCCGTTTCTCCTCCATTTTGTTCCCCCAGTAGCCGTCGCGGAAACTGAAAATCCGATTCGGAGCATAGTTCCAAGCCGTAGAAGTTGCCAACGAAACTCTATCGAGCCGCTCATCTCGTTTCGTTTAAATTGTAATTATATACGAACCGGAATAACGAATTTTGCGGAAATCCGCATCGAATACGATTTATATAGAATAAGGAGAATATAGAATAAGGAGAATTGTACTTTTGCCCGGAAGCTACATAATAGAACCGGCACACTGTGCGCGCGATTATGATTACCGTTAATATAAATTTCCGGTCACGTTGCGCGGCCATAATTAATCACGCTTGAATTAAAATCAAACAGCGGTTTTTATCGAACTTTTCGAGACCTTTCGCGAAGCAGTTAACCGGATCGCTCGCGGAATTCGGTCGGAAGCGAGAGTACCGAGTTACGAAATTTCCGTTTGGTTTGTTTCCTTTTCACTGCAGGTAATAACGCGTGGCGAAAGAATATCGATGAGGGGCAGCTTCGCGGAAATATGGACTGGAACTGAGCCGCTCCTTCCGCAGTCCAGACCGTGCACGGTCCGGGATATCCAGAGGACTCGTTGGCCGGTTAACGCGGAAACGAGCTTCGAAAATGTGACGTAGCCTGGAAAAATCACTTCCACCACGATCAGGAGCACCATTCACGCGAGCTTTCGAGTACGGCGAATCGTTTCGGGTCGACTGCGTTCCCTTTCCGATCTTGTTTAACGAACACTCTATTCTCTCGCCGATGTAACCGTGCTGAGAGCGGATATTCATCGCACTGTGCCGGTGAGTAGCTTCGCGGAATCAAATTTGACGAGTTACTTAGCGATACCGGTATCGTATCGGTGTACGCGTGGCCCGGAGTGTGTTCGCGCTAAAACCGATCGTTCGGTGATTTCTATCTTTCAAAGGGAGAGGAATAATGTCGTCGAAAGGGATAACGAGAGTGCTCGTGTCCCGGTTACGCCATTCTTCTCTATCTTTCGCCGCGCCGATTGCGAATTCCTTCCACGAGCATCCGTTTGCTCGGCTCGAACGGTCGCTTCGATAAACTCTCGAGCATGCACACGGGGGACGATCGATTGCTGCGAGGCAGCGAACGAACGGTGGCCAGAGGCGTTCTTCGAAGCGACGACGAATTTCAAGCGACATCATCGTCGTCGTTGTCGATGGATCGCATTACGATCGTTCAACAGCAATACGAGGCATGCAATCGAGTATTACACACGCACACGTACACAACGCGTATGCCGAAGTGGTTACCGCGGTTGTAAGCGTGCGTGACTGAGCTCCGCAGCGCCGATTGTGATTAAATGCGCGGCGCTAATTTCGCTAGTAGTAGCAAGATACATCGGACCGTGCCAAAATGCAGAACACACAGTATTTACGTCACCACGTACAGACGAATAAATAAATAAATTAACTGCATGTACAGCAACGTTCGTATTCGATCTAGTAGTATCGGATAGGTAGAGAGATAAAGAGACACATGAAACGAGACACAGAAAAGATACGAATCGAGGTGCAATCCTCGCGCAAGCTCACCCGCTTGCGATACTCCCTGCTCGCGTTCGGCCCTGGCCTAGCAATTTCTCCCCATCCGTTCTCTCGCGTTTCGAGGCTCGATGAAAGAAACGCACGGATCGCTGGTAGGCTCCATGGAGACCGTGCCTGGATCACGGTAATCGAATCATTCGAATGCTATTCATCAATCGCCATTGTAGCGATCGGGTCAATCGTTGATAACGACTCGCTGGGGTATCCTTGTTACGCGTCATTCTACGCGAGATTGAATTACCGTGACACTGGCACAGCTCCGCGATCGACCGATGGCTTCTCTTCTGGAAGACAGCTTTCGCGAATTTCCAGTACGTACCATCGTCGGGACGCGACTCGTTAATGAAACGCGACGACTAATTTGCCCCGCGCCAATTATGCGTTTCGGAGACTATCCGGAGACCGGAAATGGAAGAGAGGCCATCGTCGCGAGCCCGTCGTGAGGGACAGGACTTACACCATTTAACCGTGGTATCTCGATGCTCGGAATGTAGGTGGTCTCTTCGTGGCCGGTCGAGCAATACCGCGTTCTCCTCCTTCTGGCACGCGGGCTGCAACGGTCGCACGGCACCGCGGCGTCGGAATTGCGCGCCTTCGCGGCTGGTCTCTGCCGCGAGCCGCACCGCACGGCGAACCGCAATTCCGAGGCCATCTCGGCGCACAGGGACTGCCGTGCCGCGGCGTCGATCGACGTTTTTTCGTTTTGCCACCGATGCATGGACGGGGACCGGCAGAACAGGCACAACAATACCAACAAATGATACAGAAACACGATCGCACCACGAGCTCGATACCATGCAATTCCTCTCGCGTGTCAGGCCGTTTCGATGCTCATTCTCCAATGTGCTTTACACTTATGCGAGTCGAGGTACCGTGCGTGCGATTCGGAATTATTTACAGGGTGAAATTTGTACACGGTGTTGAGCAAGTGCAACGTGGACTTAATTCTTTCCTCTGTGTTAAATCGTTAACTCCTTAGGGGCTCACTTATCTTAGAAAAACGTGTCAAAATATTTGAACTTTTTCATTCAGAGATATAAGCAAATTAGCGTGTAAGAGAATTCAAATTCACAGGGCCAAGTATCTGTGATGGATACCTATATAGTCGAGGTAAAATTAATAATTGAAGGAAGAATTAAGTCTACGTTCTATCTCGTTTATCTATCAGCAACTTTAAAAGCAGTAAATGATACGGATTTTGTAAGTGTAAGGTGTGATATTTAGCATGCTCCGATTTGCAAATGCAACGAACAAATTGATAGGAAAGCTGGTTAACCGATGTTCAACTCGCAATGAGAAGCGGTACGGCGTTAAACCAAACAAGTAGAATGGGAACCTGCGTGGTCAGACGAGCCGGCTATACCGCGTGTAATCTGCTAAATGGATCTTTCGGTCAAGTAGAGTGCGAGCGTGCTTGGTCAGACTCTGCGAGACATTGCCGAATTTCGTTGTCTCTCGTATTATACGAGCCATCCGATCGAGAAGTCGGGAAGCAACAGCCGAATAATCGATATCTACGCCATGCAGCAGTTCTCGAGCGAAGGCTCGAGATATAGCCGACGAGAGACGCGTTGAAACGCGGGAAAAGCACACCGGGACGAGCAGGCCTGCACGCGACGAAGAGGAAAATACACTCATGCAGCACATACACGCGAAGCACGAAATCGCACGCAATTATCTCGCTGCTTCGCTCGCTTACCCTGTCCGATTGGGCGTTCTTCTTGGAGTTCCAGCAGAACTCGAGGACAGCCACGAGGATCGCCAGAGCTAGCCCGCAAACCAGCACGACAAAGACACCACCTGCAACGGGAAAAACCGGAAGCTCATTATTTTACCGCCGCTGGCTGTCTCTGCTTCTTTTCTGATGTCGCCCAGCGCACGCTTCACGGTTAATGTAGCTGCCACCGAGCGCACTCGCCCGTTCCCTGGATCTGTCTTCTCATCTATCACCCTCTAACCCTCGCTTCTCGTTCCTCGTCGCCCTTTCCACGCCTGTCTATTTATCTATTTATCTATCCATCTGTCTAGCTTCCCGCCTATACGACCCTGTCGTTATTTACGCCTACGCCATCCCGGCCATCGTCTTTGTTAGCCTGTCTGAATCTCCCCAACGACGTTTTCTTCTCCAACGATGCCCTTCCCTACCACGTCGTTGAAACTTCGCGGAGGAAAAGATGGACGGACGCTGGGGAGAGAAGCTTCTCTGTCCCGAGCTCGCAGTCACCGCGATATCCGATGCAAAGGAAGCTTCTCCCAGTGGAAAGTTCTCGCAACGACGATCAGGGCACCGTGTATCCATCCTTCCAACGTTAGGTCGATTACGAATCGACAGATGCAATTTTTCCAGGTTTCTTTCACCGAGTACTGCATCTTCCTATCCGTGATCAATCGTTCAACTCTCGTCGATAAGAATTCACGGGGCTAGAATGATTCCAGAGAGTTCTAACTGCGCTCCATTAGACCCACTCACCGTGTCAATCATTTCGCACGGTTTATTGGCTCCAGCGAAGTTTCCTCGCGAAATTTTCGCTACTTAACAAATCGTCGAGTCCGTCTGCTGCAGTTCGACCGTGAAATATCTTTTCGCGAGTTTTCACATCGCGGTTGCGAGGAAGTGGAATATAAAGATGCCGAGTAATATCTTTATACCGGGAATAAATTCACAAATGACTACTCGTCTCGGTTAAATCGCTCGTTACCGAGCTACTCGGTCCCGCGAGAAGTTTCCTCGTCGCATTCATGCGAGTCGGGGCGAAAGCTCACTCTTGCATCGTTAAAGCAAGAGCAACTTCGCGTCTGAACTTTTCTTATCGCTGCATGTGCGTACGCTTTTCGCGTCCGCTTACTTTTCAATCGGCTCGCCTAACTTCCAGCTTAATCGTTGCTCGAGCATCGCGATTTTCCGCTTCCCTTCCCCCAACGTTCCACCCTTTTGATGCTGCACCCTGGTATACTATGGAACGATTTACCATGAAAATTCCGCTGGCTTGCTTCATGCCTCGACTTTTCTATTTTCCTCAACGCTGTTGCCTTATCTTCGACTAAGTCTCCCTGTCTTTGTACTCAATTTTGCCGAGTTTCACTATTCTCCGCGCGAGATAAGGAATCCAGCGAGTCTCTCGCCGATTCGTCCAGGAAAATCGCGAGTTCAACGGCCGGATTTCATGCCGTCGAGTTAGGGGACAACGGTTTAAAGTAGTCTCGTTGATGTCCACGGTTTAACTTCATCTGTATGCTAAGCAGTAACGCGTCCTTTCGTCATCGGCTTCGGTCGCATGAGCAGGTAACTGGCTTCGTTGTACCGTCCAGATTTGCATAGTCGTGCCGACGACGTGATTTAAACGATGTTTCGCCGGAAGGAGCGAAGTTTCTCGCGTGGACGCCTCTTCCATTTTCTCGCCTGTCTCTCCCGACTAATTTCGCGGTCAGGCAAGAAACAACGCGAATGCCGTACCACCGGGCCATTTACGCGTTTACAGTTCGTGTTTCGCTCTTCTGTCTTCGTGGCTCGTGTCGGGGTCGACGAGTTTCCGCGCCAATCGCGACTTCTGCGAGATGAGCAACCTTGGTCGAAGCGCGATGGAACGATTAGACGAGACACCGGTGTTTAATCGATCGATTGGTGTCCTTGGTATTGTTCCGATATTCCTATTGGTTAATTGGTCTCGATTTTCATTAGTGCGGCAGGTACGATCGTGTTACGATTATGTTACGATTTTCGTATCGAATAACTGGTTTTGAAGCAACGCGATAGCTGGAGAAATAACTCGCAGTCTCTCGGGACGAGATCCTGGATAAAATTCGAAGGCTTGTGTTCCTTTCTCCCTCCATTCCGCAAATAATCGACACGTTCGGTGGAAATGCGATTAGCAGGTTCGACTGAAATTTCACGAGAATTCTTCGTCCTTCTCCCTGTCTCGGCGAGTAGGTTCGCACTGCTGGCAAAGTGGGTACTTACCTAAGTTACAGGCTAGTCAGCGGTGAGGGGCGAGGTGGAAGGCGGGGAGAAAGAATGGCGAGGATTCTCGACCAGAGGGAAAAAAGGAAGAGGAGGATACAGGGGACCGACAGGAGAAGATAGAAAGGGAGAACTTGTTGTGACTTCCATAAAATCCGGAAGGAGTTCCACGGGACACCGAAGAAAAATTCCTCGCCAACTTCTCGCGGATTTCTCTGAGCCTGAAAGCATTCCGAGTCCTCTGTCGCACCCTCTCCATTCCGTTACTCTCTTTGTCGGCATTTATCGCGCCAAGTGTCCCCGTAATGAACTGGATTTTTGGATCACCAGCGCGTCCATCGCGTTTTCCTTTCTCGTTTCACCCTGTTTCCTCATCTCGCGATCGATGTGGTCCCTCCAGTTTCGCGTTTATCCACCGGCCGACCGAGAATGACGTGTTTCGTAACGCTATAGCCGATTGAAATCCATCCATAGTTCATTACGTAACCTGACATGCTGGCCGGAAGCCCGCAAATTAAGTTAGTTACTCACTGCACGGGATGCAGAAACGATAGGAACGAACCTAATGATTCCGACGCCATTGTTCTACGTACGTTTCACCGACCGCGTTCGCGCTCTTGAATTACGGCTTGTAATTACGTTGCGCCGGATCATCGATACTCGAACACTCAAATTTTCCCGGGAATTTGTAGTCACTTGCACAGCGTTCTGCTCGAATCCCCAATAATAATCGTTATCGCGATTATTATCGCGCAATATCGTTACACGTCGTAAAAATGTCAAATATGCTCGACGCGCCGGCATTATTTTATAACTAAGTTTTGTCCCGCGTTTATTCCGCGCTATCGACGTTTTACGCGGCGCAGTTTATTCGCAATTTATTTCGACGAAACGAGCTCATTTAAATCCGATCGTTTCGGAAACAGACCATCGTTTCGCGTCGCGGTCGGAGACATCGCGGTGGTATGGTCGACGTTATTTCGCATTTAATTAATGCCGAAAGTACCATTTTTTGAGGATTCCACGACACGGGCATTATATACCGCGCGAAATTGTTTCCCCTATCCGCGAGAACGTTTTCCTCCCTCCTTCGTTATCCTCGATTAAATTTGCGGCGTAAAAAGCACCACGAATCTTGTCAGCGCCAAGCGAAGCCGCTGACAACTCGCAGTAAAAATTCCTACCCCCGGATAAGGTTCCCGCCATTTTTCCTCCTTTTTCCCAACGATAAATTACCACGCCGGCCCTCTTCGCGACGATGCTGCTCCTCGTCGTATTACCAACCTTCTCTGAGAGGGAGAAATGTTTAAAGAGATTTAATCCTCGTCGGCTCACCGATATTTTCGACTCCCAACGCGTTCGCCTTGCTCTCCTTGCTCTTCTCGTCCCGGTTGCACACGTCGCCGGTGTTCTTCCACCACTTATCGTACAAAATCTGTATCACGCCCTTCTCCTGCAGTTCCAGAATCGCCAGAGATATTTTATCCCTCCAGGGCGAGCCTGCATATAAAACGGCTTCGTTAGGTTGGTCAAGGAACCGGCGATCTCGTCTTTCAAACGCTCTTCGTTCTCAGAGAAACGACTCGAGGAGCTGAAATTGCCCGGGCTCGTCCTTCTTAGTTCCTCGAGGCGTCTACGAAACGGGACGGAGCTTTCCGGTGCTCTCTCTTCTCCTCGCGAGTCGCTCTCTCTGTGCCGAAAGGCGTCGCGTAGCTTTGGCGACAACCTCGCGAGCAAGTCGGGAATTTTTGCTCGCGAGTCCGACGATTCGTTATCAAGAACTGGCTCGCGACACCGTCGCGGGGAGGAAAGATAGGGAGAAGGAGAGGGCGAATTAAAACGTGGACACGTTAGTCCAATTAAGAAAATTGCTTGGCCCGGGCCGACGACCGGTTTGCCCAACTTTCGGCTAGCTCTGCCTGCCGGAGAAACCGAGTTACGCGGATTTAAAACTCCTCTCCGCGTTTCGACTCGTTAATTAAGCCGGTTCTTCTGCGAGACAGCGACCGGCTAACGAACTTTGCCGAATTCGCGAGGAAAACGCGAGGTTTCCGCGACAAAAACTCCGACCGACCTGTTTCTTTCCGTGCCGAAGTCGCCAGAGCGATTTGAACCCCGTGCCGGCTGCAAATCTGCCAACTTTACGACCTTTCCCACCGTTCCACCGCTTCTAAAGCCCGCGGCTAAATTCTGCCACGATTTCTCGCGAACCAATGGCGAGAAGTATTAAAAGCTGAGGATATTTACACCCTTGTTTCACGCCGGCACTGCCAGCAACTTTCCTTCCGCGCAACTTGCACCCCTCGAACCCGTCGAACGCTCGATTATATCGCCAGGCGTATACGCTCGACACGGTTGCGCGTGTACGCGAGTATCGAGCTCGGGTGAAATTGCTCGCGTTCGAGTTACACGCACATTAATTAGGATCGCGGATGTTAGACGTGGATATGAATCGTAACATCGGTGGGGGTAATTTGCGAGAAGACAAGCTGTTGCGTTGTAAATGATGCGGAGGGGTGGGATTTAAATAAATTAATATCCAGGAAGGAGAAAGTGTTGGGATAGTTAAGAATGTATTTATACCGTGTATCCCATTTCGGTATACAAATTAAGGATTCCGAGTCAATGGGGGGGTCTGGTTTAAGTCTTTACGAGGGCCAGGGCTGAAAAAGTTGTCAGTTCGTTGGCGACCTGAGAGACATACAGATCATTTTCTTAAGAGCTACACCGTTTTCTTGGCACCAGACCCCTTTGTGCATAATAAACTTTGACGAATTACGACATAGTGCTTTTCGCTTATTTAATCTCTCACGACGTAACTTCACGAATTTAGTATTACGTAGAATGGTAATTTAAAGTCTATGACAGCTTTTTGGTTTTTAAATGCGAATACTGTTGAATGCGAGGTTGAAGAATGCGCGAGAGAAGGTTCCTGCTCCCCAAAGAGCCATTGGACTACTGGAAGTATATTTTCCTCGACTTTCTAAAAAGCTCAGTACTAGTTCTTCGAGTTAGAACTTCTCTTTGAAGAGATCGGCAGCGTTTTTCGAAAAAAGGGTGTAACTCTTTTCGGATGAACGATGGGGAATTATATAATTCTGGGGAAAAAGGATGTTATTTTCTATGAAGTAACCGAATTTTCCATCGCGGGATGTTACACACAGAGTATTGGCTTCCGCGTAATAACGGGAAAGCCTTTTTGCGAGGTCCCAACCGCGCGAACTGTCTCGATTGTTTTTCGATATTACCTTTTGGAGTGGCAATCCCGTAGCCTTTGCTGTCCAGCAGACCGCCGATTTGCGTGAGATTGCAATCCCGTTGTACCGCGTAATCGAGCATGGTGGACTCCATCAGGAAAGCGTAGTCACCCTCGAGCACCCTTTTCACCCCGTCCTCGTAACTTTTCACGAACACCGACGGCGATTTCGTCTCCATGAATTCCCACATTTTCTTGTATATCCCGATCTTCGAGTCCTGTTACCGAAACGAGTAAGGTCATAATTAAAAATATTCCCCCGTTCGCTAATTAAAAATTCCATGGCACGTCCAAACACTACGACAGTTTCGTATCTTTGCCGGGGTAAAGGGCTTTTAAAAATTTTTCTCGCGCAATATCGTAATACAACACCCCCTTCATAATCTCCTTGTGATCATTAGTCTCGTTAACAAGTATCCTTCGAATGAACAGCCATGTATCAATTCGGCAAAAAAGGAATTTAATTCCGCGCTCGTTGGAACTAATTGTACGCGTTTGCGAAACATGAATTTCGTATTATTTTCCTCCATTTTCGACGGATATTTCGTAAGAGAATAGCCGCTGACTCATGGCGCCGATACCGTCGACGTGGCGAGATGAACGATGCTTTTTTAAATTTCACCGTGTTTTCCAATCATTCTGACACCGATTCATCGAAGCACGGTAATAACGCGCGGTCCGCTCTGAGAATAAATCTGCAATGGCGGAGTGGCACGAAATGCAGCTGCGATAACGCGGTATTAATATAACGTAATAGCAGCGCGTTACTGAAATGCCGTTCCCGAATTAATAACGTTAAATGTCCGCATTAATGGTCGGGACAATCGACGAATTCGTATTTCCATATTGCCGGCAAAACTGCATCCCCTTGATAATTGGCCGAATTTGTCTCGGATCACAATCGGTAGGTTTATGGTTTTAATATTTCGAGCAAATTACGAACACGCGCCGGGATCCGGCGTGAAATATCCTCTCGAAATAACATTAAGACGAGGTCGGAATGCGAATGAAAGCCGTGGCTGCAGCGAAATAACACGCACCGTCAACGGTCGAACGTTAATTAATATTAATGAATTGCACTGCATCGGAGAAGGAATGTGATTGTACATCCTCTTAGATTAATCCGATAATCCGCGCAGGAACGATGGCAATTATAAAATAACGTCTATCACGATGGGACACGAGAAGTCCGAAGTGTCCTGGGAATCTCGATGTTTGTCTTTCTGGAATTAAATCTCTGGGAAATCTTAGCTCGTACACCCGGATTTATGTCTACGCCATTTTTCCCAGCCAACTTTCCTTGGCTAACTGAGTTTTAAAACGAAAAGTTTCGCTGTTTGGTCAGCTTCGCTCGAATCTTCGACTACGTCCCTTCCCTATGTCTCGGGGATATTAATCAAATCGGTTACTTCGTGCTTGTTCGCTATAAAACTTCCTTCAGCCGATTCCTCGAGTTTCGATACTGTAGGATATTTTTAGAGTTTATTGGGGTGCGATGGTCGAAGTGTTCCTGTAGGGAACACTCCGCCAGGTCTAGAGGACCCGTTAGGATTTGGCTGTCAGATGGGTCGTAGGGGGTTAGGGCCAGGCCACGTGACGTGGCTTCGCGCAACCCCGGCTTTCCCGGGGAGGAATTTCTCCTCCTTCGGGGAGATGCTTGTCCCGTGGACGGGCTTTCAAAGGGCCCGTCCTGAGAGACAGAGGAGTCGGAGTTCAGTTAACACGTTGTTAAGTGCCACGCCGATCCCCAGGGACTGACGCTAGACTTTCCTTTCGGGCTCAGATTAGTGCTAAAAGTTAACACCTTTTGGTGTAAAATTCTTCGTCATCTTTGGACCGAACGTTTGGGAATTCCTGTTTTAACAATTGGTACAGTATTTCCGAGCTTTATGAACACTTCGGTCTACTTAACAGCCGAGTCTGAGCCTGAATGGAGCGGCAAGCAAAACGGGCTGGACACTTCACGTGTTAAGAGTTAGTTAAGAGTCAAATTAAGAGTTAAGAGTTATTAAGTCAGTTGTCAAGTCATCTGGAGAGTTAGTTAAGAGTCGGATTGAGAATTAAGAGTTGTGGAGAGTCCGTCAGTGGTCGAGATAGTCATAGAGACAGAGTTGTCAGTCGGAATATCGTAATTAGTGAGTCGAGTTACGGTCGTAGTCGCCTAGCAAAGCCTCATCAGAGATTCGCTAGTAGCAACTTCGTTTAAACACCTCACTAAAACCACCAGACCACCTTGATCCCACGGTACTTACTCTGAAAAACGTCATCGTGCTACCACCCTCTAACGTTCCGTAGGAGATCTGCGTTTGCTCCGCGAGGTCGGCCGCGTTCTCGATCGGCGTGATCATCCTCTCGACGGTGAGGAAGGCGGCCAGGTTCGCCGTGTACGATGAGATGATGATGAGCGTGAAGAACCACCAGATTCCGCCTACTATCCTCGTGCTGGTAGCCTGACAACGATCATCGATACTTTTGTTACTCAAACGAAAATGGCGCACCTCTCGCGAGCAATTCCTTCTCATAAGTCCTACTAGCCATTGTAAATGAAAATGGCAACCGTTTAACTATCAGCAACGCCCTCAGTGAAACAACAGGTTGTTTCCGGCCAAGCTCTTCCGTTTCTCTTCGAAGCGAATATTTTCGCGATGGGTGGTAAGTAGCGCGAAGTTATTTCAACTCTCGTTAAATACTCGCGGTGGCTGGATCTAAACTATCGTGTGGTTCGTAACGCCATGAAATCGTGGACTATGCCAGGTATTCGAAGAACGAGAGAGAGAGAGTGGATGGTTCGTTAAGCGTAACACGGTGAAATATTTCCAACCGATAGACTGGAGTATCGCGGGCGAAAGGTCTGGCATTCGCCTGGCAATCAGTTTTCTCGCGAATGTCGCCTCGATATCGCATCTCCGCGGTCGGAAGCCTATAAAGAGCTCCGACGATCAATTGAAACCACGTGAGTGGAGCATCGAGGTCGGGGGACGATTTAAGAGCTCCGCGTCTCCGCTGCGTTCCGCTCGAAGAATGCAATATGCGGTCTCATTCGCGTCGCCCCCGAGACCGCTAATGGCATATTTCGATCCATTAGCCGGTTCCAGCGAGTCGATCACGGGAGCGATTATCGGGGCTCGAGACATTTCTGAATAATTCCCTTCGCTCTTTATCCGTAAATCGAACGGGGTTGTTCAAATTGCCATAGTCGCACGAACCAGACCCCTGGAATACGCTCCCGTTACTAGCCTCTGCAATATCACAAAAAGTCTCGAGCACGCAGCCGCTTCTGGCGGCACTCGCGAAGACCTTTCGACGTTGACGTGGGTAAAAGGAAGAGGGGAAAAGAGGACGGGAAAAGAAAGAGGGAAAAAAACGAAATGATGAAATAGAAATTCCCGGTTTCGCTGTATCCAACCCGGCAGAAAAGAAATTGCTCGTCTCTTGGTACTTATTCATATCGCCAGCGGTGTCGAGGCAAATATTCCGCGAACTCGAGGATCACGTTGCTCTATTTCCTCTTGCGCGTGTCCCACCGGCGATACGAGTCGGAAAATCTCTCGAACGATAAGTTTCGAGCGGAATACTCGCGCGATCCGCTCCACACGCGCTCCTTCCCCCATTTCTGTACTTTCGGCGAAGGAAGGATCGCTCGAGCACTCGCGAATCCGAGCTTTCATGCGCGGATGTCTGGGATTCTTCGAGCTCGCAACCGCGTAGAATCGCCATTCAGCGCGACGTTCGCAACGACAACCCCGCATGTACACACATGCCACCAGAGCCGGCTAGCACCATATGTCGTACAGGTGTTCCTCGTCTGGGTAGAAAGCGTTCTGGCCTCTGGTACTACGTCCCTGGCCATAACGGAGATTCGATTCGATGGATGGAACTTCACGCTAGACGCACACGATGGATTTGCAAATGTATACGCCTTCTATCTATAGATGCGTGAAAAATGCTGTAGAACAAAGGTGCTCTATGGAGACGAATCTCGTGCTATCGGTTCAGTGCTGATGTCTACCGCGTCTTCAAAGATTTCTACCAGGCCCGTGCGTCTTGGTCACGCGCCACTCGATCTCCAACTTACGCCCTAGAAAGCATTTTAACCCCTATCCAATGTAACTTTGTAAACACCTGTCGCACGCACTTGCATTGGTACAGGGACTATTTTTATAGCCAGACGAGGCAGCCACGCGTGAAATCGATGCAGTTTTCCTAGTCGTCCGACGACGAGTATGAAGTATAACGCTGAAGGATGTTGTTCACGTCTTATCGATCACTCGTTCTCACCGAACGATTGTCGCGCTGTTTATGCGTGGTCTTGGAAATCCTTGTACCGATTAAAGGATTTCTCGTGCGAGAGGAGACCTCGAACTCCGAGGAAGTTCGTCGACGAAGCTCTACGGCGAAGCTACTCGCGCGAGGCTGGAACTTTTCCGCGTGGAAAGGACTCGATACAACCGAGGACGACGAACGAAAATATTTTTCAAACTCGCGAGAGAATATCGCAAGAACTTCCACACCGGTAAGAGACCGGTTGCAGTGGTTTTTCTCGGGATCGAATCGTGCTAACGGATGCAAAGGGGTGGCTATCTGCGAAACGAAATGAAACGAAACGACGAAAATGAGGCGAACGAAACGTAAAGGTGCTTGGCTGCTATGTGCATGCAGGGGTGACATGCGATCTCTCGATACTCGATCGTTCTCTCTCTATCGAGATTTCCGTCGTGCTCGTCGGTGTAACTAACTTCGAGGAAGTCCATGCTATTTTACTTCGCACTACTCGACGGGTAAGATCTTCGGTCTGCGTGAGATCTTACTGCCACGTTTGGCCGAATATCACTACCAAGCGAAATATCACTAAGGCGAATGGGGCTGTTTTCTATACTCGACGCGAAATTATTTTCCAAAGGCTACCAGGCAAAGGAACGGTGAGCATCCTTCGGTTCTATTCGCGGGTCATCTGAACGAACGTATCTGTTCCCTGATCTTCTTTTTAGCTTTAGATTGGCACGGTGTACTCATATGGTGCTTGAAACCTTCCCACGGATTACACGGTTTTCGTTTGATAAACAGGGCAGCTCGTTGGACCTGGCGTCATCGCGTTTTACGACTCCCGTTTGATGGATCGGTCGCGAGATCCATTGTAACTTCTCAAACCTTCGAAACAGCAGACCACTCCTTGACTTCCCCGATTCTCGAAACAAACAGCGAGAAATTACACCGGCAATTCGAAATTTCTTCCCCTCGTCGCGCTTTACGCTATCGTCCGATTCCAGGCAGCGAAATAAAGAGCGAAAATTCGAACGCGAACCAAGACCGTAAAGCTCTAAGAAATCCAAACGACACGCCAGTCCGGACGTAAAATTAAATTACCCCAGAATCTAATTAAAGAAACGGTTGCGCCGAGTTGAGCAGGCCAATTCCTCTTCGAGAAGCGCGTCGAACCCGTAAACACCCCTCTGGCGGGGGAAAGAAACGGAAACTGGACCCCTCGGAAACTCGAGAAGGGAGGTGAATAGAGAGGAAGAGCGCGCCACACAGGGGCGAGCAAGGCGAGGGAGAAAAGCTGGCAAATAAAAGCGCGGGGAAACCTACGTTGCTTTCGTAATTGTTTGGCAAATAAAACGAACCGGGGTTCGCGTGGCCCTAAGTACGCAGTTAAGAGCACGCGAGCGTGCTCCCGCACTTACGGCCTTTATGACGATACCACGAATTTCACGAGCCCGTTCTAAACAGCCACCTTTACGGTGGATAATGTCGTTACGAGGTACAAGTTACTTTACAGCCCCCTGATATCCTTGTTGACCCGTCCATTTGTCCCTAGCGCTAGTGACTTTTATTCCAGCTTAAATCGCGTGCTCTCGCGATGCCATTAATCGCGAATTTTTCCATTTAATTTACATTGTACGCGAATCGCGCGAGTGATCCGTGTCCGACCACCGATAAATTTTCCATATTCCGTTAATCGGGCCCGTATTCGCGTCAGCGGGTGGAAGTCCGCCCGTCGATCACTCGCGCGTGTCGTTTCTTCGTCGAATTACTTCGGCCGTATATTCGCTAACGCGACACGTGTCTAACGAGCTGCCCAACCGTGTGTTTCGTGGGTATTATTTGTTCATGCGATCGTTCTCGACCGCCGACTCTGTGGTGACACGTTTACCTTGGGGTTGAGGTCGCTGCCCTGTTGCATAAGCGTCCCGACCGTAAACCAGAAGCTGTTGGCCAGGGTGAACTCGTTGACCGTCCTCGGCAGAGGAATGTCGTCGCTGTCAGGATCCAACGCGCTCACGTGACCACCCTGATGACATCGTGACCCCCGCCAAGTGGTGCGAAATTTCAAGGACAATTACACAGGCTATCCGTAAGCAGCTAGCGTTTAATAGAGCGGTCGAAGGGTCGTGAATACAGACGCGATAGACAGCTGTGCTCCACGGAATGTCTCTGACAATATACTCGGTCAGGTTACACGGTAGACTCGAAGTGCAGCGCAACAGCGTTGCATATTGGGTAATGAGAATATCAGCGAAAGTTGCCGAAGGTTGCATCAAAGTTAACGCTTTGACTGCCACGTTGGTCATGTATGACCGGCCACGGTTTCTCCTGTGGTCATTAGTGCCCAAAGCGCTTATATGCTTTGAATAATAAAAATACTCCCGTGGCCTCTTCAGTGAAACGAGTGATTTCAGCGTGGCAGACAAAGCGTTAACCGACAGAGCGAATCGCGAGTACCCTCTGACAATGTCAGACGTGGAACTGATTTTCCGGTATATAAGCGTGATCGATCGATTCCTTCGCGACCCTTTGCCGCCATCGTTTCAACGATCGATTCCATGGTCCATTTGCACCACTCGACGAGAGCCTACCTGTAGCGGACATTTGCAGCTGGGGCAGGGTGTCGGTTCCACCCATTCGTAAGGCGAGAATCTCGCCACTATCCAAATCGTTAGGGAGACCATCACGTAAGCGCCCAGCATGGATAACCAAATCTCCACGGCGAGGGGATTCATGAACGAGAACAGCCTCGATGGCATTCGCCCGGAAACCTGAAGCAATTACACGTATTTCCGGATTACTGATCCCCGAACCTCTCCACCCACTTTCGCCCAGTGAATCCCAATTCATTTTCCCGTCGCTCGATTTTCATCCTCGTTCCACGATCCTCGAGCAAAACTCCCTTTCCACCACCCCTCTTTCGCGTCGTTTATTCACCATTTTTTCTCTTTTTCCCCCTTTTCTCGCGCAAACTGACTTCTCGAGGATAGCAGTTTCGCCGTGATCTTTCGCCAGTCTAGTGAATAGCGCGCAAGATGATCCTTTATCTCGCTGAGATCACGGATTCCCTTTTCTATTCTTCGGCCCGTCAGGAGTCACCGAACACAATAGCCGGTCGGAACACACGGTGAAGTTCAACCGCTAGACGAGTTCCTTTATCCTTTCGTTTCCCTTCTTTCACCCGTTCGTTCGAGCCATCAGCCGAAACTGGAGCGCGAATCATCGCGATTCGGGTTACGATTCCGGCGAATCTGGACCGTGATACGGCTCGTCTCCCGCCGACTGTTCCGAATGTTAACCCGACTTTGGGAAACCACGGCGACGACAATCGGTGCTTCCAAACCGTCACAGCTTCTGATTTCTCTCAACCGCATCTTCGCTTTCCCCTCTATCCGGGAATATCATAGATACACGTGTACATTGGGAAAGTAAGAGGATGAAATGAATTAGGTAATCGAGTTCGCGAGTGGACCGCGAATTTCGTTAAATATTTCGAAATCGAACGATTCCACGATGGAGGAACAGAGTCCATTCTTTAGTCCCTTCCGGGAGATTGGACTGTCGTTCTCGGTAAAATCCCCGAAGAATCCCGCAAACTTGCCGCAGCTATGAAAGGACCGGAACAAGGGTGTGGGTATAGTCTGGGTCTCGTGACACGGAGTAATTGAACGGCAGAAATAGTCCAGTGGCGGAGCACCTCGTTGAGTGTACCTTGGGGTTGAGCCCGCTGCCCTGCCTGAGGAACGTGCCAGTGATAAACCAGAAGCTGTTGCTGACGCTAAACTGGTTCTCGACGATGTCGCTCTCCGCCAGGCACGGGTGTGGATTGTTCCACTCGTACGGGCTGAATCGAGCCATAACGAAGAGGGTGAAGCTCACCAGCATGTACGCGGCCAGCACGTACAGCCAGATCTCGACGGCCAGCGGGTTCATGAAGGAGAACAACCGCGTTGGCTGACTGGAGGGCACCTAAATTACGTTACGCTACGATTTTAATTAAAACGGATCCCGTGCCGCTTTCCCGCCGTACGGCGGGCCTTTTCTCAGCAACGTTCTACGCTTCGTCGAATCGATTTCATCGAGAATCTCGTCTCCGTCACGCTCGGTTCTCTGTCGCGCATTATGAGTTATTCCGGGCTATTCCGAGAGATCGCACGCGAATCGTTTCGTATCGATTGAAATCCGATCTCGGGGAAAAAATCGCGTCGAGTCTGGGAATTTTTCCAACTGTCATGCATCGAAACGAGATTCTCGAGTGTTGATACTACTTTGCAAGCATGTTACACATCGGTTTAACGCCGTCGAACACACGAACGACAATATCGACTCACCTTAAACAGAATTCCGATACCGAGATTCATGAACGGCTTGGTGAAATCTATCACGCTCTCCCGAGCGTAATTGATCGTCATAGACGCAACGGCCAGATCCGCTCTCTGTGGGCAAAAGGGAGATTTCTCGCTTGAAAACGGACCGGTAGCTGTGTACGCTCCGCCGAGCACGGGCGTCCGAAAATCCGAACGGAAAGTGCTCGAAATTGAAATTCATCGAACGAGAAACCATCGCGACGCGCCATATCCGGGGAGTGAAACGAAAACCTTCGCGCAGAGCGGAGAAACGTGCCATTTTTACCGTAATACCCTTCACGACCGCGGAAGGAGTAAAGCGCGAAGGTTGTTTGCCGTTCGACGAAAATCATCGACAAAGCTTGCCAGCCAAGTGTTCGCCTGGGCAAACGTTTGCCTTGCAAAATAGCGAATGCATTTTTTATAAGCGGACGGGCACACGGAACAGCCAGGTCACTGCCGATGACGTCTTTCCTTCGAGACGATCCACTTACGGTACCGCCGGTTTCTGGGTTAAAACGGCGTGCTCTTTCACCATGGACAGATTGCTCTGCATCTTTTATAAACCGACAATCTTCCAAACACACCGTCCGTTTGTGTGCCACAGTAGCGGTTAGTCGAAACGCGGGGCCGCCACGAGCCATCCGCAACCTTGGTGCCCCAAGGCGTTCCCAGACGCCACGCTTATCTTCTCCATCCCTTTTCTCCCCTTTTCATCTTACGTTCTCGCCTTTGCACTTTCGACCTTGTATACCCGCGTTTTCGTCACTTTAGGTCGCGCCATTTTCACCCGTTTGCGTCACGCGACCGACGTCCGACCAAATGCGCGGCTGTACTACTTACGCGGCCGAATTTTCCCCGTTCAGCCCCTCGTCCCTCGGATGAATTATCGATGGGTGCTGTTTCGATCGTCACATGCCGCTCTAGGTATTGTCGATAAGAGGATAAAATTAGGGCGAAGTTCGTCGGAGTTAATACGGATTACGTTGTTTTGGATAATGAATAACGGCAACGTAATTAATTCCCGTTGGTATCTTGAATAATTCAGCGTAACGTCGCGTCTACCGGAAGCTCGGGTGGTATATGAAGATTACATTCGAGCAATTTTTGCAACGGGACATTAATATTCCCGCGAAGTTCTTGACCAAGCGATCGATGAACGCGGGAACGACCGGTTAGCTTTATAAATTATCCGACAGTTAGTCGAACACTCTGCTATGCGAGATTCCGACTTAATAACCGCGTTGGTTTACAATTCAGATGTCACATCTGCCAGATAACATCTGGCAGGCAAGCCCTATGAATTGGAATATCCGATACGCGGCTACCCGTTAGAAAACGCGAAATTAGATGCTACTGGGTCCCAGGCATGCATAATGAAAGCCTAGCCGAGATGGATTTATTACCGCAGCATCGAGCCGTTGCTTTGCATATAAAATTGTTCACGGTTTTTCCCTCCGTGTTTGTTATTTTCTTTCCTCCTTTTCTATTTTTCTCGTGAAAGTATCCAATTTCATCGAGTCACCACGGTATCGCGATTCGCGTTCGTGCAGAGACCGCAATTTTTCCTGCTCTCGCATTAAATTCGGTATTAAAAACGAGTATCGAGTTTGATAGATTTAAATCCGTTATCTCGGAACAGAATAATCCTTTATCTCGAAGGAATTCTTCACATTTCCTGCTTCTCTTTCCCCGGTTCTCGTTTCTCATCAACGTCGCAAAATCGCGATTAACCCCATGGCCTACAACCACGTGTGAGGCTCGTGACACATCGGTCGGGTCAAAACTGACTATCACGGGCCTGACTCGTGGTACGTTGGCCGGGCCAAATGTAAACACCACGTGTCACGCCCATGGTTTGTCGATGTGCCCCACGTAATTAGCGAGCGACTGGTACAACATGAGACATTTGCCGAGCCGTGGAATGGCTCGAAGGCTCGGCAGGTCTGTTTACGTTTTGGGACCACGCTGTTGGATATTGAATCGTAGGGCAAGGGGTTAATTCACCGTACGGCCCTAATTACTCTCTTCATAGCTTTCCTCGTAGACATCGATCACGAATGAAAATCAGGCCCGTTAACGCGATCTCGGAAACGACGCGAACAACCCTCGATGCGCTTTACCTTTTCCATCAGCTCCCTAACGATGCCGTTCCACTCCTTGGTTTTCGGGTCGTAAACACCGTACATATGGTCGGGAACCAGTCTTATGGCGTACTGGAAGCCCACCTGGCCGGCGATCCACTTGAGCAAATCGATGCAGAACCCTTCGAACCTAGCGTTCCCCGTCAGATTCTTGTCTTCCTTTACCATGACGTACGGTTTCTCCTGCGAAAGATAAGATTCCTTTGATGGATCACCGCGCGCGCAACGTCGAGGATAGGCAAACGGACGAGGTTGGAGCGAAGGTGAGGGGAAAAGGCCGCCGCGAAACGGGAAAGGGGACGAATGCTTTTCTTTTATCCGAGAAGATTCTTATTCGACGATAAGAACCGGCATCGATGGTACGAAGCGTGCAGGGTTCAGTGTTATTGGCCGGTCTAATGCGACCGATTCTGATGGAAGCTTCTAACTCTACTTTCCCGTTCCTTTCATCTTGGGAAATGGAGAGGGCGGGACGTCGTATCTCCGCGACGATTTCTTCCCGACTGCGGAACCGAGCGAAATTAGTTTCTTTCGGGGTAAACGTGCTTCCCCGGCTGCGCTCGGCGCCGAGCCGCGTCAGAAGCTCCAGCAGCAGCGTCGCGTGCTTATTTATTTACGAGCTACGACTCCGCGAAGATTATTTTTCTAATTTACAACCGGCAGATTCACCTGACAACGAGTTCTATGCGAAATAAAATTCAACTCCGACTCAATGAGATTTCGCGACCCGCGTTCCGCGGCGAACGTAATTCGACAGGCGCTTACGCGAGCATCCTGGTAATTACCTCTCTCGTCATAACGACCAAGGTGATATTAGTGGCGGTGGTCTCGTAAAAAGCACCGACGTCGGTCACGTTTACGCCCGACCCGGGCTTCCACTCGCCCACCTTCACGAGCTCCTCCTTCTTCAGCTTCAGCAGGTCAAGCTTGAAGTTATTACGCTTCCCTTCGTTGAACTCGATATGTCCGGTTAGGCCGTGTAAACCTGCCTGCGAACAGAAGTGTTCGTAACCCTAAATTCCCGATCGAAATGGTCTTTGCAAATTTCAAAACGAAATGAAAATTCCGAGATACTATTTTATCAAAAAAAAAGGAAAAGAATCGTTTTTTTTACCAGATAACAATTTCTGCGAGGCTCTCCTAGCCCGGATTTGTTCGGATCATCCCGTAATCCCGCGGAAATCACGATTTCAGCGGAACAGGTAAATATTTCCGCGACAATGGATAGTCGAGCCACTTGCGTCACGCGATACAATTAATCGTTGGATCGCGACTCGGTCGCTCCAATTCTCCAGTGCATAATTACTCGATAACGAGACATCACGTCTGTTCGATGTTGCACCAAATTACCGATAGCCTCCGCGCGACGTATCCTCTGCGCTCCGTTTCGTGCACCAACGATCATTACCAGAGGTGAAGATCCGTAAACGAAAATTGTCTGAAAATTCTCTCCCTTGATTACCATCTGGGAAACGCGATATGCTTGACTTACGAGACGTTACTTTCGCGTTACCTGGACGACTGCCTTTATCGAATTCCGCGCCATTGTATCTCGTGACCGGTGCTTTTATTGGACGCGTAGCTCGAGTTACCTGCCAGCAAACCGTGTAACCCAATTTCTTCGAGTCCGAAATCCACGCTGAAGACAATGGGAATTTAATCTTTCTATTTTCCCACCTAATCACGAGGCTCGTAGTCCCGTAATTACCAATTCGTGCTTTCACCGGTCATTTTGTAACCTGCGAGCTGTTCCGGTTACAAGGACAGCCCGGCCTAAATCTTCCGCAATATGACGCGCTTGTTTGCCGAATCGTTTCGCGAGGAACAGCAACCGGAAGTGACCGGTACAACGAGCACCGTATATCGCGGCTCACGCGCTGCTACTCATCCGGCAGATTCGTCTGTTAATTGCTTTTGCATCTACGCCCACGGCCGTGTAAAATCGTGATCCCATTTTCACGTGCCAGCTGTCCTGGAAACGGGAACACGGCGATCTCACGGCTGTTTTGCTCGTTTCGCCTCGCCGGATGCTTCTGCGAGCTTCCTCTTCGAGGGTACAATGCCGACTTGAATAAATCTCGCGCGAATTCGCGTCGCGATTCCCAATGAAGTTTGTTTTATAATGCAAATCTGCGGGACTAGGTATTTTTACCTGTAACGCGTGACGAGTAATTCAAACGTTACGAGAGACAATTTATCGACGAGCCTTCCGGAATGTACAGGTTTTCGACGCGCGGGAACTTTACAGCCGCCATTTTCGTGGATTTTAAATATCACATCTCGGTACACGGTCAGTTACATCACTCGTGCCTCTCGTGCTTTACGCGAAGCTGAATTCTGACAGAGTGAGTTGTGTTTTCGACCCGCGTAAATCTCGTCGCAAACGTACCGAATCGCGTGTTATACCTCGACCCATGCTTCTTTTCTCCTCGCCTAATGACGCTTCCCCGCAGACGGGTGCGCGAACAAGAACTTGCAAAGTTATATCACCCCTGCAGATATTCCCAGGAGCTTGACTGTAGATACGCTCCCGCGATTGCTCGAGGAAAAATCGGCCACGTTGAAGGAATACCGAGCACTGACCGCGCAATACCGCTATCAAGACTCAATTACTCGCGAAAACACGATTTCGACCCCTCGAGGAGCCACGCGAGAGGGTGGTTTCTTTGAAAATTTCTCCGCCACTAAACGTCTGACCACTTCCGCGTCTACTTCGTCTCCGCCATTTACGACGGGAACGCAAATGTTTGCTCTGTTCTCAAAATGTCCGCATGGTCCGCTTTTCAAACGCTCCGAGCGAAACCGGAAGTCTGTAGAAAGAACTAGCCAGAATTTTGCGTTCCATCGGTAAACTTGCTTTGACTTTCGTCGCGTTAACTTTGACGGAGAACGCTCGGAGCGCGAAGTAAATGGAAATTCGATCAGCTTTCGATCGTCCGATCGTTAACGTGGATTCGTGCTTGTAAACTCGCGATTTCCGATGGTTCGAACGGATCGGCATGGAGTACTGAACACCGGTGCAAAAACGGCGGATTTCGTTGTGTAAATTCGCGCTTTGAGGCCGGTTCAGACCGCACTCGACTTTACGCGGTCGCGATTTTTCACGTCACGTGTCACGAACGCAGAATTTCCGTGACAGGTGGAAAACCACTCTGATTTGTTTATTTCGCGGCACACCTGTGTTTCGGACTTGTTAACAAAGGTTCCACCGCTCGGAAGATATCGTTATCCGCAGCAGTGCATCTTTGTTCGGTACTGCAAAATTGCTTATCCAGTGAAAAGATCGTAACAGGACACCGAGTTTAAACGCGTGTAACGGATGTGAAACGTGGCTAACGTGACAGAAACTAGGCAATCTGATTTTTAAATCGTTATATAGCGACCAACGCTGGATGGAAAACGAAGGTTCGAGGTTTCTCGCAAGTCCTCGATGACTTTCATAAATACAAAGTCCCTATGCTTCCTAAGTATTCTCCGTCTAAGGTGGAGTCTGCTAGGAAGTCTTACTGATGAGTCCTCTAGCAGATCCAGGACGAAATGCATTCCTTCCTTGCGTCTTTCTACCTGCTACATATCCTATGGCACGATAAAATCATCAAGATACCAATAAGCAAGCACCTTAGGAACCACAAGAGATCAAACGAACCCCCGTCGGCCCCCATACCGAGTTAGGGGGAGAACAGACTCTTTACGATGATTCAACCCTTTGCCCTCGTGAGGCGACCTTCAGTTACTATTTCATAAAATTTGAAAGATATTTGAAAGAGGTATCGAAATCAAGTAATTCTACAATTCTATTATACAATTCTTTATTTACTACTCAGAAAAGTATCGCCAGCTTTTTAGTAGAGAATCTCTGAATTTCTACTCTTCTCTAGCCAAAAAATCGTCGAGTTAACAATAATTCTACAATTCTATTATACAATTCTTTATTTACTACTCAGAAAAGTATCGTCAGCTTTTTAGTAGAGAATCTCTGAATTTCTACTCTTCTCTAGCCAAAAAATCGTCGAGTTAACCCTTTGCACTCGAGAGGCGACTCTCAATCGGCATTTAATAAAATTCTAAAGATCGTTGTTAATTAATATCTCGAATTTAAAATTGCCCAACGACACGTGGAATATCAAGGCATCTCTTATTTACCGTTTTGAAAATATCGTCGATTTTGTGCCACAAAGTCTTCGAATAACTATGATTCTGTAACGAAAAGGTAGCCGAGAGCAGAGGATTAAAAACGATAATTACGAGTGAAATTAATTTTTTCCACCTCGTATGAAGGAACCGGAAGACAGGTCGCGTATCTACGACCGCAAAGTTGCACTCATTCCTGACATCTGATCGATTCTGGTGTCTGTCAATATCGATATCCTCGTCATTGGAAAGGTACGGACCGATCGAGCCGGTCATTCGTCGTGTCGCTCGCAACTAAAAATAGCCACGTCGTTTTGCATTTCAATTTCGGTATCGTGGATGACATGAGCTCCCATGCGGACCGATTAGTCGAACGGATTCGATTTCCCGTCACGTTTGACACGATTTTCGGTGTTCCTCTTCCCCCCGCTCTTTTATTTCCCATTTCCTGTCTCGCGATCGGTACGTCGGCGTTCGAAATCTCGCGAATTTCGAGTAAACGATAACAAAACGTGCGCAAGACGGAGACAAATGCTCCCGTCATTCCTCTGTCCCGCCTGCGCGACGAAGGGCAGTTTCAAGAACCATTTCGACTACCGTTTAATCGTATCGGAAGCAAGCACGTTCTCCAGTACAGGGACATTTATCAACGCGTTGGCGTAGCTCGAAAGCAAATAATATCGAACGATTAAACGTCATTGGCGGTGTTATTTATTAGCAAATGGTACGGGAACTATCAAGCGACCCCCTTATGGCGACGCGGAAACGCGCGCGTTCCGCTGCACGACACGTTGGTTGTTCCTGCGCATCGGTGCGCTAAATTTCCCGTGCATTTATCAAGGAAACTGTTTAATTTACGCCGAATATGTGCGCGGCAGTTCATTAATCGATACTCGACCGCGCAACGACCGATATTCGCCACTCTCTGATTCCACCGATGAATCTTGCGCCACGTGTGCCAACGCGGTGCCCCTTTGTCACGGATTCTCGCAACGCGCAGGAAACTGCGCCCAAACGGCTCCTTTTTAATAAGCTCGCGCTGCAAGCATAATAGAATAATCCCGCTGAAAGTCGAGGAATGCGATTCACCTGTACTTCTCGCGTTTTTCATTTATCGCCGCGAAGCGAACGTAACGCGACCCTTTTCCACGGTTTCATTAGCATACTCTTCCACGCTGAATACGGCTGTTCGTGCAAACGCAGTTAGTTCTCCATTATTGCCCCGACTCCATTGAAACAGCCGCATTGTCCTACCCGTTGCTATTCACCGATTGAATAATTCCGTCTCTTACAGTCTCGTTTAATTTAACGCGGGGAAACAATAATATTCGCGTGGCCGATCGAGCGGAATCCGTATAAACGCCGGCTCGTGCGCCAGGGAGCGTTTCTCTTATGAAAACGTACTCCAGATGCGTGTTTTCGTTGATTAGCCCGTTGCCCGCGAAGATACGAGATTGCCGGGTCGGAGCCACGGTAATTCCGCGCTGGCCGACGAATTTCGGGGGCCCGGGCGGAAGTTGGCGAGTATCTGGGAACAGCTCAACTCGCCGAGAACTTGCAGCGCCGGGGCAATATTCACTTAATAAACCTGGCCACGAGCGTTGTCAACGCGAACGTGAGCCTAGGTCCTTACTAGCGCTAACACGTGTTACTCGTGTCATGGCGAGAGGACAGTCGTGCAGAATTCGAGCGTCGCAGGATGCAGGCGACGAGCGGAATTGTTCGAATGAGTCGCGGGAAATGGACCGTGGAACGACGTGTCAGGGGTAAGGGAAGATGTAAAAGGACCTCGGGTGAGCAGAACCGTGTTTGAGTAAAAATATAGTCGGCCGGCCGAAGAGGAAAGTTGATCAAAGGACGAGAGGAAACGGAAGAAATTGGACGCGGGGAAAGAAAGCGGGTAATATCGATGGAAACCCCGTAAGCGTATCTACTGGGTCTCTTTACGCTCGGAAACAATTACCGCGTTAAACGAGACGTATCAATGCTCGGCTCGTCCCGCGTATACCGGAACACGCGATACCCCTGCGTGGAAATGACCGGAGGGATATTCGTCGGGAGCGGAATGCCGAAAATATCCATCGATTTTCCCCGACTCGCACCGCGAATCACGCGAACTCATATTCCTTTCCAGGCACGCCCCGTTGCCTAACGTAGTACCTGATTTTCGCATTTCATAAAACGCAGTACGAGCGAACGGTTGAAGAGAAGAGTATAATAATTCGAGAACCGGTGACTGATCTCGATAGGAGCCAGATGAGGAAGATGAGCAAGGGTGGCCAGCAAACACAGCGAGGTAGAAACTAGCGGAGGCTGCGGGGAAAAGACGGACAGAAGACACGGCAGACAGGAACGGTCCATTCTCCGTAGCTATTTGCTAAATACGCTGTTCAATTATTCATGTGTCAACGCTGCTTCGCCTCTCCGTGCACGTTTGCGGCTTATCGTTGGGCGCCTACCAATCCGGCTGCTTCCAGCTGCAGGAATACTTCTAGCCATTTGTCGGGATATTCGCGATTTCCTCCCCTTGTATTCCTCCTGGCTGTGGTGCATCCTTTTTTCCTCCGTCTGCGCGAGATCTACCGGGATCCGTGGCTTCCGGTGTGACACGGCATTTGCATTAGACGTTCATTCCCTGTTGCGTCTCGGTTACCTTGACGTTATCGCGAGGGGGATAGGTCGATTATCCGCAGGCTCGATTCTAAAAAGCTTCCGTACTTTGGGAAATAGAGTCTCTTTAGAGGGAGCCGTGGCGGGAAAATGTGGTAGATAAGCGATGATAATCTAGGTAAGACGATTTATTTACCTCAACGTAGATTAGGGGTCTCGTATCCGTGCAAGGTCTACCGAACCCCGAGACACGCAGTTCCGCGTTCGAAAAGCTAGACTCTCGTCTCGTAAGTTATAAGTTTGTTCATCCAGATAAACGTCGCGGTGTGTCCCATACGATATACCAGAAACACGACTACCGGTGTTACCTATACATCAAATATTTTATCGCGTCTGGACGGGGTTGAGCGGCGCGCTTGCTGTACATCAAACATTTCATTGCGTTTACTCGGTAAACGTCCTAATATCACGTTCGGCGCCGGGATTTAATCGAAACGACTGCACTTTTATTTACATATTTCCATTTGTTTTTCATTCTCACGCCGTTGGCAAACAAGCGGATGTATACTTTTATCCGACGCAATTTTGTCATCGACCAGCACGCGTCACGCGAATCGTGGAAAGCAATTCCTTCCGGCTCGACACGCTGCCACGTCGTTTGACCTACCGAAGGATATTCCGAGCAATTCCAAGCGGAACCGACATCTAAAAGCTTTCGGATTTCCGCTAGATCCAGCTCTCTTCAAGTCCCCTTGTTTTTCCGTCGCGGAGAATCTCGTTCCAGGCACGCGTATCGACCCGAGACCCTCCGCGTTCGCGTATTCCGCGGAATGGAAAGCGGTAAACATCGGATCCAGCCGGGAATCGGTAAACAAGAGACGGATACGGTCTCGGTTTCTTCGTAACGCGCGACTCGAGTGCGAATAACGGGCGATATTTATTCCCTGATCGCGCTGCGCTCTTTTTGCACCCGACTGAAAGGTCTCCGGTTGCCGGAGAGTCATTCTTCTCCGAGGAAAGTGCTTCACGGAGTTCCCAAACTTCTTTGCCTCCTCTTCTGTTCGTGCCAGACGTACCCGCGTGACCCGAGGACTCGTTTCTTGTTTATGCAGCACGATGCAATTAAGGAGAATGGAATTGTCAACGGGGTCCGGGCCGAGTTGGCTTTTGTTCCCGCGACCTGTGCGGATCGTAAATCATTCTCGTATTCCCTAGTATGCTGCCCGATTCGAAAAGTATTCTACTCGAATAGCCACGGCGAAACTTTCGGTCCGCATTTGCATCTTCCGACATTTTTAGCCCCCGCTGGCTCGCTCGTGCCAGGGCGCGGTAATAAAATCACTTTCCCGCCAGTTCTTGAAACGCGTCTGCGACCCTGTTTACCCCAGCGCCGAAATTCCTGGATCAGAGAGCACTTTGAAACTTCGCAGCCCCTGCTGCGCGGCTAAATTGACGCCGTATGAAATTTGAAAACATCCAGGTCCCACGTGACTCTCGAAGCGATTTAACGCCGTATCCGAAGGAAGCTACCGTATCACAGATTTCCCCTTTAGTCGTTTGGCACATTCGGTGGGGATTTAATGGCCCAGAATTATATCTGTCTGCAACGCGTCAAATTAATAATATACGAGTTGCACTCGACATACGGCGCAACACGGTTTCGTAATTTCTGCGAGTACTAAATGAACCGGTAGTAACAGTCTGTCCATCCCAAGCTGTCCATAAACGAAATTAAACGACCTACGGGATATTATCCGATGTTATAAATCTCTCATTAATTAACCTAAATTCCGTGTTCGCGTCTCGCTAATGACAGATTCGATCTTGCGTTTGAAATCGTGTCGCGTTCGCGGGGCTCGAATCTGGGTGACGGCGTTGGGAAAAAAGGAAGACGAAAAATGTAGGATAAAAATAAAAATAAAATTGGAAGTGGCGGGAAATCGAAGAGGTAAAATTGGGTAAAATTGCTTCGTAAATTACGAATAAGCGGGGCCACGAGGCGTCGCATCGTTACGTAACATGCTTTGTGACTCGACTGCTCGTTAAAGGAGCCTCACTCGTAAAGCACCGAGCGATATATGGCGCCAGCCTATCGTTCAAATTTATGCGATATACTCGATTCCCTTGGCCGACCCTCGTTTGACAACCGGTCTTCCGACTTCCGTCCTGATATATGGCAGATCGGCAATACCGTGGCCGATCGACGAATCGAGCCGGAAGAAAATTATTGCGGACCAAGGATTGTTCCCGTTGTAAACGTACGAATCGATTTCGGATACGGCGCTGCACTGGCCGACGTTGCTGTGGAAAAATGTTTGCGGATGTTTATGAGAGGTTGCACCGAGCATTACCGGGTTGCAATTTTAACGTCTGAGAAGCTTTGGCTGGCAGACGGAACGGGAAAAATGGATTTCGTCCGGAAATGTTCCGTTTTGCATATGTTATATTATTAAACTAGCCATTATTTTCTCAGATAATATTTCTTTAAAACGCGTAATTTTTGCGAATCGTACTTATTCGCGTATTGCAAATTTCATTCGATTCGATGGCTTCTGTGCAAATTTTCCGGATATTTGCGCAAAGGGAGTGGTACATTAATGCATCCTATCGGGATATTTATAAAATCGCATATACGTATTAGTGTATGCAAATTCAGTTGCCACGACAATCTTTAAATTTTATATAGCATCTTTGTTTAATAGATTGACTTAAGATAGTATTGTTGGATTCTTAATGGAATAAAATAAGCTTGTAAATAGAATGGCGACGGCTGGCTGTGAAACAAGAGAGATTCGCTATGGGCACACATTTCTGATTTTTCTTAACCTCTTCCTGTACCATTTAGCTCGACAAAATCCGGGCCCAAAAGGTAGGCGTCAATCCATTCCATTCCTGCATTAACTCTTATCGGTCGTAAGTCACCTCTCGCGTGACAATAGTACTTTGCCACTGCGGTCGAACAACACGCGGAAGGTGACAAAACGGAAATCTTTGGCATATTTATCGAAACGAGCTCCAACCTAGTGAGAATTATGGTAGTGGTTGTCATAAATGCGTGTTACGAGTGAGAGGAATGTTTGTGTGGAAGAATGTGTGTGTGACGAGTATGATAAACAGTCACGAAAAAACAATCAGTAGGTGAATGACAATCATTACAAATAGACGTTGTGTGTGAGAGGGTCCTCGAGAGATTATATCACAGTTAGAAGCGAATTTATTTTACGAGATTTAGTTATAATTTATGTTGTGCTGCTGTTGTGTTAAATAAATCTTCTTATTGGTTTATCCATTTACTCACAAGAATCACGTATAAAAAGCTAGTGTCCGATAAAGGTTAATTATCAAGCTCTGATATTGGTCCTGAACGAAACATTGAAAGAAGGTGCGAATGAAATAGAGAATGAACCGATTCAAACTTCACGAACTTTAATTTTCACTTGTAATTTCCACGTTCAGCCTGGTCTGGATGAAATCAAGAAACGGTTGATCGACGAATTGCGTCGGGGATTCGTGGAAACGCGCTTTTCGATCGGCTAATTGAATTTGTTAACTGAAACGAGATTAAACGCGGCGTGCCCGAAGAGTGCGATCGGTACTGATACGGAAATGCAAGCTTGGTGAATATTGTAAGAATGTTTTACTCGGTGTTTTCTTTTAATTAGCCTCCGGGGAAGGCTTCGAGGTTTCGCGATTTTCCGCGTACAACTTTAAGTTCCTCGCTCTAGATGAACTTTCGCAAGATCGTTTCCGGAAAGTTCGTCGGAATTTAATTTTTTTTACGAGCTCACGATAAAAATTTGTCACGAGCTATTTTCGGCGCTGCTTTAAGAATCTGCCCGATCGATTTCGCGTAAAACTCACATTCTGTCGTGTAACGCCGCTGCCATTTTTTGCCCTTTCATTTTATTCCGTGCTTTATTACCGTTGGCATTCCCCCTTCGACGTTGCTCCCGTTGCGCATTGCGGTCCCACTGCTGACCGAGTTGACTCGATAATGAAAAATTATACAACGTACGTACGGCGTTAATGTAGTTGTAAAGAGACAGACCATCGTCCCAGGGCTCCTCTTTCTCGCACGACAAATTGGCGGGCCTCAGGTCGTGGCTGCGGTCCAACGCTGCTAGACCGTGCGCGAAAACCTGCACACTGTCGTACACCAAAGCTGGTTCTGCCTGAAACATACGTTTCCCCTCGCGTGAAAAACTGTTTGCATACGTGTCTCTTCGTCTCGTCCCTATCTGACCTAATTTCCGGGGTATCTACTTTAGCGGAAGTTCGCTGGGCAAGTGTACAACCCATAAAAGTTTGCCCGCGTGGTCGAACAGAGGAACTGAACTTTGGCCTGTAAAGTCTATTGTAGGACCGGCGGTGAAGGAACTCGCGATTTATCGAACAATGAACGTCAAGAGCAGCGGAGAAGTGCGCGGAATTTCGACAGAACTGTTGAAAGACTTTGTCGATCTTTTTCAACCACGCCGCGGTCTGTCGTCGGAAATTTATCGAATCTATGTTAGCAAATTTTCCGATGGAATCACGTTGTTCGCTTACGGCTCTTTTTTTCGTCGTCGTGCAGTAACTCTGTCCTCGTGGGAAATCGGGAGTTCGTTAAAATTTATAGACAACAGTCATATCTCGGAACTTTCATTCCGTGTTGCGGAAATTTTTGTCATTAAAAATTCGTTCGTTATCGCGGAAGCACTCGAAAAGCGATAAAGGATATAGGAGAGAGAAGAGAAAACGATACTTGAAAATACGCCATCGAATGATCTTAATTCCGTTGCAATTTTCCTCGTCAATCACTTAATAACCGAAATGCTAACCAAGCGTCAGATAATCAACTTTTGTCGATAATTTCGTTTACGCGTACGATACTGCAACTTTATCATCCCTTTTAATTTCCAGTGGATTATAATGAAAGAAGAAATTCCTGATTCATGCTGTACGTTATATATAGAAAGAGAGTCGCATATTACTATTAATAAACGCAGAAATTGTAATGAAACACCGGTGAACCGACCGGGTACAATACCGAACCGCCGGATCGACAAATTTTCATAAATATTAAACTAATTAAATAGATTTACCGTATTAATTTCCCGAGCTGGAGAGCGTTATTATACGAAACACTTAATGGAAAAGTATCTGGTTTTCTACCGGTGCGTTTTATTCAGCAATTTCAATAATTTCTCACGATTTATCTCGCATTTGGAACTTTAATTTTAACTACCCGTACTTTCCCTCGTTATACGCTACGCCAATTTCCCGCTTTTCATTTGCGGTTAATAATAATCCGAAACGTTTTTGGACCACGGAAACTGGCGTTTCTTCGTGTGTCTATAATTCATTTATAAATGGTCACCGGTCATTAAAACTGGCACCATTCGGAGCGACAAATCTCTCTTTTTCAAGTCATTTTTATTTTATTTAAATTACTTTATCCGTTCCCGAGATATCGTCGTTCAAATCGACCAGTAATTTCTGATGCTTCGATATGTCTGTCCTGTTCGCACAATCGGACCTCTCGTTCCCACTCACGCATTCACCTATTCCAAAAGCACCACGTGCGTCACAGGACACTGACACAGCATTGTTTTTACTACTAATAATACTCGTACGCATTTCCAAGAACCGAAACCGGGTCACTCTGTTTCTCTGTAATTTCAATATCTCGCGTGATCCTTTCTCGATATCCTTTAAACCTTTCCTACTTTCCAAGCTAATTATAGTGTCGAATTAAATTAAAAAATCGCGTCTTAAAGGACTCGCTTTTCTTTACATCCTACGTGTAATTTCGTTGGGAAATTTTTCTATAAAAATTGTGTTTTTCGTACCTAACGATTGTATCGACGTTGAAACGGAATCCTGGAATCCTGGAATTCCCAAAGGTACTTTTATCGAGAATTTGTGTCAATTTTTTCGTTCGTAATGTAAAATAGGACTTTGTTAAAGGTTTCCCACGCCGATTTCACGCTACTCTACTCGCGCTATTTACTTTCCGCTTCTCTACTCGACTGTTGCTTTTAGCCGACTCATGCATAGTCATGCACGATAACTCGAGGCGTTGCGCGATTTATGCGAACCGCTTCGCGAAAGAATTCTGATCGTCGGTTGTTCCGGCTGGAAGTTCGCGCGACCGCTGGGAAGGCAGAAAACCGTTTTCCGTTTCAACAGGCAAGGGCCAACGGAAGACGAGTTTCGGGACATTGTCCAATAGCAGCGACTTCCGGCGGCCGGGCATACCTCGGAGTTACTTGAACTTTCCACCAACCTGGATAACTCCGGTTTTGTTGAGGATCGCATGGCCAATCGGCTGGAAGCGTTCCATCTGCCGCAGAACTTCGGCCACCTTTGGTTCCTCGAGGTCCACCAGACGAAACGCAGTCATGTTCACGCTGTTGTACTTGAAATCCTCCAGGTCGAACGTTTCTATGTCCTGCGAATCATGATTCTCACTCGAGTCGTCAGGAATTACGGAAGATTAATTTCACGCGTGCTTCCCCCATACGTTCGTGCTATCAATTTATTATTTTCACGAATAAAAGCGAAAAGGAAGGGAAAATAAAGCGTTACTCGATACGAGATCGTTGCATTTTACTGCATCGGCATAGAACGTTGCCCGGCGTTCCACTCGCGCCATTCCTTCCTCGTCAAATAAATTCGCGTAAAATACTCTGTTAATAAAACATCGCTATGATCGGTACTGTGTTTGCCAATATCGGGCGCGTTCGACCGGTTCAAATTCCATTGAAAATCGTCCCGCTGAAAGCGATTCCATCCATAAACGGAATCGTCTACGACCCTTTTAAAATACGGGCCAACATTGGCCGGTCTCCTTTGTCAAACGGAATCTACTCGAGCCTTATCCGCGAAAGGAGGACCGTACAAGAGGGTTTCTAAATTGAAGAAAAACGTTATTGCGAACTATACAATTACCGGCGGATCCACGAAAGCTTAGTTTGCCCCCTTTCAACCCTGTCGGTCGGCCCGGCCTCCTCGAGACTCGAGGAACCGGTTAGATATGATTTACAAATATCACCGTCCGATACATCGCGAGGGTATGATCGTTAAGGTAAATAACGCGGCGCAGGACGAGGTCGACGAACCGCGTCGCGACGCCAGACCGACAAACGATGCTGCTTTTCATCTCTGACCCCAGACTATATACTCTGCACCCCCTTCGTCCCGATTTTCGACTCCCTTTTCCTCGTCTCGACCGCCTTACCCCTCTCCCCTGATCTCGATATCGCGAACAACCTGTCATCGAACCCCGGAGCGTCTCGAGCATCCTACAGGGTGAGTGATTTATTCCGAGTCGCGGTTATGTTTATGCAACGCAGCCCTAAATCGACCACGATGAAGAATTCCTTCGCGATTTCTTAGGTTCTCGGTGGAACGATAAGAGCCAGTGTCGTTCACGCAGGATTTCAGAATTCGGGTCACGGGATGCACGTGTTGTTTGGATAACGACGATGGATTTTGAAAAATTATCCACGCTCAACGCAGTCACTGGATGTTATCGTACAGCCAGGTGGATTCATTTGACTTTAATCGACTCGCAGCGTCACGAATGCAAATGACTGACACGCGGCAGCGTTTTCGATGATCGACGATTGCGAAGGCAATACCGAATCGCTATGCGAGGCACGTGTAACGTTGACAATGATCAACACGATCGATCGTCGCGCGAAATTCCCCGATAATCCTTTGTCACGCCGATCTCGGTTGCACGCCGTTCTATGTTTCATCGCGTATAATTATTTCGGTTGACATTTGCCTGTTAATAAACGTAATTATCAGCTGATATCGCGACTCGTCGATCATCGGCAATTATTCCACCGCGTGAAGCGTATCCAACGTTTCTATATTAGCATATGTTTTCTCGCGGAAAACCTCACCGTTCCTCGCTCAGCGGTCTGATTAACGTGTTCTTACGCTACGTCGAGCGCGCAAAAATATATTAAGTAAACGGACGGAATGGCATAAACGACCATGCCGACAATATAGAATGCAAACAAACAAACGAAGATTGTATGAAAACAACCGAGAATGTAAAACAACGGGCGTATAGAGAGCAGCAAATAAGTTGAAAATGTAAGCAACGCGAATAAATTTTCCAAGACCAAACAACATCGAGAAGGGATTTGTCATGTAATATTTTCCATCAGCCGTCCATTTTATACGGGATTCGATATCTTTTTCTTCGTTAATAACGAACTGTTCGAACAAACCTGATGCTATTCGATTTCGTGTTTTCACGTGGTTTTCTGATGATACGTCATCCAATTCTAGACCTGTTATGAAACATGCATTCACAGAATTGGACGGTACACAAAACCCCGCGAAACGTGTCACTCTTTTATTAAACGTCGAAACGCGGCATAGAACGCGCATATTTTCGGCCATTAATCGAGCAGGGGATGGTTTGGCCCTTAAAGCGGATTATACCGGTGTTCCGGGTTCCACGGGGAAATTCATTCTCGACCATTGATAGACAAACGCGTGCTGGTTAATTCGTGTCTATTCGCGCGCAATCGAGGAACGCATTGGCACGATTTACTGCTCTGTCATGTCACGTCGCAACGTCTAAGCGGCGATACCACGTTTACGCAAATGCTCGTCAAAGGGTACCATTCTTCATCCCCAGTAGTGAATAAATTCGTTGAAATAATGCGCTCGCGAATAAACCGTACATCCGACATTTACTTTAAAATAGCCGCCCCTTTTTATTTTATGACCGCTCTGAACGACTGTATTTTCATTCGCGGTGAATACTGTCGAAGCACGATTTTGAATATTCGCGACCGTTTTTCCTCCCATGATACATTTCGTCGGTTTTAACGAGCAGCATGTTTCAAAAAAATTTCCCCGACGTCCCGGTGAATGGCATTTCCGAACCAGATGTACCAGGGCGCTGTCAAAGATCGTGTAATTTCATCCGAAATCATTCGTAAAAATGCTCGAAATATCGCAGTCGAACGCAGAAGCACGATGGTATCGAGCAACGGGAAACAGGGTACTCGAGTGAAAAACGAATAAACTTCCTGCTGCGTTTTGACACTCAATTGACATTCAATTTCAGGGCAGTTGCTCCGGTTTGCCGTTTGGAGCTAGACCCTTTCGTTTAAATAAACCGTCTGGCTACTAACGTTTTGCAGCGCGGAAATCGGAGGAGCGGGAAAAAGGATGCAAAATGATCCGTTCATTCGAAGACGAGCCCCATTAACGTCGTCGATATTTCGCTAACATTCGTTCCAATGGGGTGAAAAGGAAACGAGTGGAAGAAAAAAAGGAAAACTAAGAAAAGTGAAACGAAGCAGTCGCCCCGAGTCCACGGACGGCGGACCGGATCTCGATGATAGAATTTACCAGAGGAGTCCACTCGTGGATGTTTCATTAAGGGAGAATTGGAAGCATCGAGAGCGACGAATTCGCGGTTAGTTGAGGAGGCTGTCCGCGTCAAAGGAGCAAAAGCAACTTCCACGGGCGGAATTAAAGCGAGCTTCATTAAAAGGACTCCGTTCCTAATCTTCATCGCCGTTTACGCGGACACGCAACAGGGGATCGTCGTCGTAGAACTGAATACTTACGAATGTGGTGAACATGTAGTGGTATCTGTAATCGTTCATTTGCAGCTGGAGGATCTGCAACAGGCGGAAAGAGGGAGAATTAGACGCGTGATTACCGTCGATTCCGGTCGCCAGTCTTTATGCTGCTCGTGGATACCGCGTTTTCATTTCGCATTTGTGTATTTGTACCCCTGAAATGGAGTTCCATTAATCTTATCCGCCGCGACGATAAGCTGGACATTTATTTATGAAAAAGGAATCTTTCAGTGATCCAAGTTGCTCGTCGGATTAAAGCAGCTGGAATATCTCGCGAAGACTACCACGAGACGAATCTTTGATTATCGTAATTATTTTCGCGTTACCTTCATCTGCCCCATTTTACTTTCAATTCTACGCGTGGACCAGTGTCTCGACTCGAAGTCGGGAAATATTGGGAGAGATAGCAACGTGCACGGATTTCCTCGGGTCGGAGGAATAAGAGATTAAGGCGAGGGAAAAACCGAAAGGGAAACAAGCGAGATAGGGAATCGAAGACACAAAGGAGGCAGCCAGAAAGGGATAGAGCGGATCGTATGAAAGCTGGGAGGTTTTTGATTACTCAAGCAACGAAGGGATATCCGCAGGAATCCCTACGGGACTGGGCATGCAAATACCCGGTTTCATTCGACCACGTTTGAGCTAAGATTGCCTCTCGACCCGAAACCAAGGAGGCCCGAGATTGACCGTAGAATTCAATCCCGTGATCGTCGTCTATCAGTCTGCTGTACCGAGTAACGAGAAACGATGCAAATAAAATTACAAAAATCTCCTGACTCTCTGCGTTATGAACGGCGAGTCAATAAAACCATCGTGTCCCGAGGCCACGTAAGAAAATTGGTCATGGTTCTCCATTAAGAACGGACCTCGTATCGATCTCGTTTACTTTAGTTATGATTCATAGGCAGATGAGACGCCATGTTGATATACGGGATTCCTTTTAAGCGAATAATCCGGCAATTTAATATTCCGTCGACGAGAAACTCGTTTCTCCAAGCAAAATCAATTCCTCCTCCTTTCGTCCACGCATTTCGACGATACTACTCGCGTTTCAATCATTACGATAGTCAAACGCGTCGTTTGCATGATTATCTCTAATGGAGGCGAAACCGAGAACATCGCGGAATTCAATTAACCAACGGTTGCTTTGGGAAACATCTATCTCGATATAGGCAAGACGAATTAAAAGTTTCGCTTTCGGTGCTCCTTTGTATTTACTTTCTTTAAAGAATTCCAGATTTTCCGTCCTTTCCTGACTTTTCTTCTATTCGATAAACGCGTCAAATTCAGGTACACTGTGGATTAGAAGTAACAACGTAGTATAATAGCCATGTTCCCTGCTGGGTTAGGTTCGGAAAATTCCTGGCGTTTTTGACACGTCCCTATAGGCCCACATTTGTTGTCAATGTCGGTCAAAGAAAGACTAACAAAATATTTTAATATCTCGCGGGCATAGTAGTGATAAAATGGATGACAGGGTGTATTATGTTTGACATTTATTACTCCACGTAGTTTCTAGTAAAAACTGCAGGAATGGCTTGCATGTTTCACAGAGTGCAATTATTATTTGGAACATCAGAAAGTTGAATAAAATCAGACGTGTCTTATCGCACGAAGCACTCGATTAAACAAAATTATTTCCAATTTCGTAATAAATTTGCGCCCCATTTTTACCAGTATCCCTTAGTATCACGATGGACAGCGTATCCATTACTATTTATTCAGTACCTCCTCTAATCTGGATATACAAATGCATAGCCGAAAATCTCCGTCGTCACGGCAGTGACGGATCATAAAGCAGAACACGAGCGAGAACACGAATCTTAATGGCGCGGAAAGAAAAAGAAGCGGAAAAACGAAAACAGACATGAAAATGATCCCCTATTAATTAGCTGCGGAGGCTTTTCTTTGTTAGCGCCGTCAGTCTGTCAGTGCTAAATCGCTCGTGGTAATCCCTTTATTCGCGTCCCCGTAAAACCAAGCCGCGGACTTTTGTCTCGCGAATTTGTTGCCGCGAATAAACTCGTGCCACTATTTCTCTGTGCGGGCGGGAACACGCGAAAAAACGTCGAATCCATGGCCGTTTCGACGCGGAACGGTGCACGAGGCGGTGCAATTTCCGCCGCGCGGGTGCTTCCGTGGATTATGCAAATTTTCTGCCGCAGAGGGGTCGCGGCCCACGCGGACCAAGGGGTCGAAAAATCGCGGAAAACACCGTCTCCTGGTAGCCGTGCGCCGCGACGCGCAACGTCCACGGCAACGGGACGAATCTGCGTGGGAAATACCGCCCGACGATTTCCCTGGCTGACGAGAATTGCGGTGTTCGTTATAGGTGCACGGATATTCGAGCATCGAGCATCCAGAAATCGCACGCAACGTTTCACCAATGGCCTCCAACCCGGGCGATTTCGGTTTACAGAATTTTGATTACAGAACGGTGAAAAAAAGCCACCGCGAGTTATTCGATCCGCAGGTTGCTCGTTTCGTTTTCGCACAGTATCGGTGTAACTCTTTCACCGGCTTCGAGCTTTTCATTCGTCGTTATGGGATTTTCCGAAGGGATCCGTTGGGTCCGGTTGTAGCGATTGTTATAGCGTGGCTCGGGACTTCTTCTGCGAGCTTTTAGAATGGACACACAATGGTAAGCAACGTCGTAAGAAAGGGGTGAAAGCAGGGTCTCATGAATTCGTTGGAATACTTGGGAGCAGACTGCAGGACGATGAGTCGCTGAAGGAGTAATGTCTTTTTAAAGCTACTAAACAGAATTTTATAGAAAGACGGCGCTCCGTCGCGTTAAGTTGCCGTAATATATTCGTTGAAAAATTGAGGATCTTCGCGAAAGCCTTCCGGCGGTCTGGTACCCGTTGTCGCGATAAAGAATTCCATCAACTCGCTGTAACTAAACGTTCTCCTCTTCCATCCGGCTTTTAACGAAAGGCTAGAGACGGAAGGGAGCCTTCGAATAAAAATGGAAACGTCGCGTTCCAATACCGGGCAACGTGGAAATTAAAAAAGCGGAACGGAAACAGGTTCGACACGTCGATGAACACTGTAACGAATTTTCCAACAACCAAAAACTAACCTTTGGAACGGTCCGCTGCGCGCGTCGGTTACCCATTCTCCATTTCCCGAAAGTTTGAGGTCAAGCCCGATCATGTCGACATATTCGTGGCAATTTCATCTGGCTAACGACACCTATTCCCCTTTAATTCGCGTTCCATCGGGGTCGGCGCTTTTTCCAGCGCCACGCCGCGCCGCGCATGCGCAGAAACCACAACTCGTACATGCAAAGCTCGTTCGGCGCCAACGTCCATCTTGGGACCGCGATACGAACGCCGCGCGTTGCAAATGGCTTCCCACCGAACGACCATCTTTCTCCACGATACCTCGACATTTTTTCCCTCCCTTCCCTATCATCGAGGATCTTATTTTATCGACCCCGATAAAACCGAGCACTCGATGAGTCTGGCCAATATTTTACTGTGACTATGGGTCGAAGAAGCACTCGGAATGGAAGCTATCGTGAATGCTAAATTCACGAATAAGAACGATCAGTTATTGGAATTAACGTTTAGCCGAAACTTCGCGATTGCATTAAAGTTCCAGCGTTTTAATCGTATTCATTTCAACGGAAACTTCGATGCAAACGGAGAGACGATCCACTTCGCGTTTAATCAGTTGATATTCGCAGAAGAACAGGGGGGTGGCGTTGCTTCGCGAACAGAGGCAACCCGTACCTTCGGCGAGCAGGGTAAAATTTCGACCGGGCGCGGGAGAATCGCGGTGGCTATCGCCAAATCTAATTGCAATAGCGCTCCGAGCAAATTGCATCTCTCTCCCTCTCCGACGTCCTTTTCGGCTATGTTATCTTATTATTTCTCGCGGAAATTGCGGCCGAGGAATGAATAACGCGAAGAAGATCCCTCGGCAATTGGATAACGATGCGAGTAACGAAACGAATTCGCGTTCCTCGCTCCGCGAGTTCCGACACTCGTTGGATCGGCCCCCTGAATAAACGTCCGGTTTGTTCCGCGGGTAATCAGTTTCGAGATGTAACCGTGCTCTAATTGCCGACGACGGAAGATCTGGGGGAATATTTCCAACAGAGATTGCCTGATTTAGCCGGCGGTTGAGATTCCACGCAGTGCTCGAGATCGATTACATTTAGCGCTGATTTCGGCACACGAAACTAGATCAGTTCGAAGAACCGACTCCTAATTGAAATATTTTTTGACATTTCCATTAAAACTTGTGCTGCCTGTGATATCGTGAATATATGATTAACTCGTAAAAGATAAATTATAATTGAATTTTTCGCTGATAAATTAATTAGCGGTGTGTGATAATAATAGAAATTAATCAATCATTGGCCACTATGCCAGGAAGATAATTATTAATGGAATCTATAATGATGATCATTCTTCGACCAATATTGGATAGACAGCTATGAAATATGAAAGGCCAGGTATCGTAGCTTCTCATTTTTCTCCTGCTCCGGCCTTTTGGAAAATTTTCCCTCAATTAAACTCGCGATGCCCATGTGCACTTTGCACTCGCGCGTAATCCCATTGTACCTACTCCTCTGCCCGGCAAAGAGGCTCTTTGCTTTCTTTCGCGGTACTAATAAAGATTAAAAAGAAGCATAACCTCGTTTGTCAATTTCTTTGAATCAAACACGTCCAATTTTTCTACGAGGTGGGTCGCAGACGCGGATACGCTAGTATCATAAGCTAGCGAATAGCCACTGCTCCGACTCCCGATTAATTCGATAATTATATTTTAAACGTAATTTTCGTAAATGGGTAACGTGATTGCGGATTCGGATAGATGAAATGAACGTTTCCACAACGGCAGCTGCACGGTGATTTCGATTTTCTGTAATTTTCCAGCGAAAATTCCGCAAATAATCGCGATCGTTCGTTTCCCCCGAAGAATTCTTAAATTAAATCCGGGAACTTAGGACGTTCGAGCACCTTACAGGCTCAGGCAGACCAAGTCCGGTGGTCCGGGAATATTTTTTGCCCGTCTGCGATCGAGTTATAAATCGTCTTTACCTGATGTATCGTTCTCGATAGCATTACGGAGACTTCGGAGATTAAATACCCCGCGAGCAAGTATTATGGGTCTTCGTTCTGTGTCTATCCCGAAGCTATACACATTGTACTTGCGGTATCGATCCACGAACGTCACTCCCCTGATACCAGCCGTTCTCTTTTTCCGCTCCTACGAGTAAGGATGTAAGCTTCTATGGGTTCCTAGGCTGCGTACGGGAGATCGGTAGCGAGCTCCTTGATGCAGCACGTAACGGTATAATATTTCGCCCCGTGTAGACGGTGCTGGAGTCTCGTGCAACGATAAAGGAACCAGCCACCCGAGGAATTCCAGCTTTTAAATCTTCCACCCCTTGTTTCGCCGAGCCTCCCGCGCGGATCGACCGGTTACGGAAACTGGACCGCATCGCGTCGCGGCCGAAAATCTTCGATGAAATCCGCTATGGAAATCCCCATGAGACAGGTCCATATAGGATCTAATTCGATCCCGCGTTCTTGCCAAAAAATTAAAAATTTCAGGGATACTCTGCAAGGTCTAACGCGGTATCCTCGATGACATGTCAGATGGCATGTGTAGGGGAAATAAATTTTGTTGTCTCGACTGATTAATGTAACAAATTGACACGTGGGTATGGTTACGAAACTGATCACACGCTGGTCCAGCGTAGCCTAGGTCAGTTACCGTAACGAGTAACAAAGGGAGCGAACGAACACGGATGAAATAAAGGATCTGTCGATATTTGTGTTGAAGAAAAGGAAATTTCACTCACCGCTCGAAAAAATTGTTGCATGTGCGCAGGATCCGTGTCAACGATCAGCTTGTAGATCTCCTTGTGTCTGACTTCGCGAAGCACCTGTCTGTAAGAGCCAGGTCCCGCCTGGCGAATATACATCTCCGTCCTCGCTGAGGGTGGTGACTTCACGAGATCCTGCAGCTTGAACAGACCTGTCGAGAAACAGATGCGAGAATATGTACAATTCCAACTATCCCTGTCGTTTCTCGCTGTATTTCCCGGAGAGAATCGGCGGTAGTTACGCGTGAAAGCTAACGCGATTTACAGGAAGGGGAGGAAAGATCGAGACACGTGGAATCGGAGATACTCGATAGCGACGTGCCAGTGTGTCACCGGGGAACACGGTTCGAAATGAAATTCGCGAAAAATTACACGTGGTCTCGTACGGCTGCGAACTTTATTTAATCGGGTTTCGGTTTTATTGCAGGTCGGTTTTCATTTCGACTCGCCTCCACTTTCCACCCCTGCCATCGTATCGCCGCGTGTTTCCAGCTGCATCGTTCGCCGGAGCACGGAACGAGAGTGTCGGACAAAACTTTAACGCCAACAGCGCGACACCGCCGATAGAAACGTTGTTTCCATTTTCAACGCAGGAATAGCCACTCGATTAATTCTCCGCGAAATAGGTTCGTCACGTTTCGACGGCTCGACCGCCAACTTCGCGGATCCAATGAACGCTGAAAATCGCAATTCACTGTCTCTCGCTATCGCCTACACGTTGAAACCTCCTCTTTGCTCCCTGCAATCGTTTCCTCGGCGGATTCGCCGTTATTAAAGGCCGATACCGAATATCCCGCGTTTCGCGTAATCCAAGCAACGCGAAGTTGAATTTTCGCGAAACACTTGGTTTAATTAAATTCGTCGCGGTCTTCCCCGCGATAAGTATTTCAGCAATTTCTACCCCAAAGTGCCGACTTCTATTTGCGTGCAGCTCGCGCGGAAAGAACCTTTCCGCGGGTAAAAAATGAAAGAGGTGTGTGGGTGGCAGGGGCAAGAGAATGGAGGCTCCTAAGTAATGGTCCGGGCTGTCTTGAAACGTAAAATTGAAAGATAACAAACCGCTTCTTGGACCTGGTTTTCAATTATCACGCCGCCTTTCGGAGAGCAACGCGTACACGTCGGCCGCCTCTTTGTGCTCGTGTATACATTTCCAGTAACAACGGGTTGGCTGCAGACGAGGGTGGAGAACGAACGTATGGGGGAAAGTCTGGTTTACGGAACAACCCTCTGGTACCGCGACTTGGATGGTTCTCGTGGCTGGTAATTTATGAAGGTTCCACGCGATACAAAAAGCACGCGGCATGGGCAAGAATGTTGCATCTTCCTCGCGCTCCCTGGATCCGCTTTTCAAATATGAATTTATTCTCCTCGTTAGGGCGATGGGAATTTTTTCCCGAAAAATCTCTCCATGCGAATAACATTGCGCTTTTATCGTAGCCGCGAGCTAAGGAAGCTTTGGAACATATTGAATTCCTCTCGCGGGCAAGTTCACTTATTAAGTGACTATTAAAATAACGCGACAATAATAATATTTACCGTACGGGATAAAAAATGAAGATTAAAATTAGAATTCTGAGAAATAATTTAGACGAAAGGTCTCGAAATCGAGAAGAATTTCGATCTCAGGATGGATATCGACCCCTGTCCAGAAATATATCGTAGGTGGCAGCAAAACGACGGTGATAGATAATAAAAGTATGACGATTTATCGTGAACCAGTTTATTTTAGGCTTACGTCTTTCACACTGATCATTTCTCAAAGAATTGCCTCATTTTACGCCCTTGCACCCTTATTTAAACCTTGCACTCTGTCTTCCTTCATACTCACGCACTCCTCACAGTCTTGTTCTAGGTGAGTCACGTATCCTAAATACTCAGACACATTCCTAGCCTTTTACTCTTCACTTGCATTCACTGTCATAAGTATCCCGCTCATACGATCCTCGCACGCAGTTACTCGTCTTTCCGCACGCTATACTATAACACTCCCAACGTTCGAGCCAAACCCGAGACCACTGTTTATTATCCCCTATTTTCGCCCAAGCGTTCCTATGTACTTTACAGTCGTACCTACACAAAAGATGCTGTCACAGGCAGTAACCTTATGCCCTAAACAAGTCACGCCTACTATTTCTACATTAATCCCCCGAACCTCCGAAGTATCCAAACATCCTAGGAACCATCTTTCAAGATCCCTCCAATCATCCCCGACGCAGATTCCAAACCAAACTTGGACAGTAGACACTAGTCGCGACGCAATGGCTGGCTTCAAGACGCCAAACTTCGTCGTGGTCCTGGTATCAAAGTACCACCGACATTCCCCTCCCTCTAATGCTCGAATGCCTCGGTTAAAAGGGCTTCCTGGAGCGTTGAACTTCGCCGAACGTGGAAGGGTTGAAAAGAGACTATTCATTCCCCCGTGATGATTCAATATTTTCGTATCGAGCGGTATTTACGCGAAAGTGCGCTCACAATGGCGCGCTTTCGGCGGCCGGGCTCGAGCGTCTATTCACGCGCGGCTTGCTCGCGCGGCGTGACTCGATTCGCCGCAGCCAAAGAGCCGAGTCATCCGGTTCGATGGCGGGATGTGGTTCGCGTAATTAATCCGCGGAAGAATAATTGGCGTGGCTGGTACAGAGCGCGACGAAAGGCAGAGACGCGATTTGCATACGTACATACGCGAGCTGACGCCTGTAGGCCTCGTGACGCCTGCTGCGTCGTAACAAACACGCAGAGGCGGACAAGAGACGTTAATGGAGGCCTGTTGCTGCAACCGAACCTACTCTCGTACTCGTTCCGCTGGTTGCTTTTCACCAGGTGAGAATTGTCGCGAGGCTTTCGGAAAAGGAGCTTTGTTCCGGTCTGGATACCTTTCAGCTGCCTTTCCCGGGAGCCGCGGCAGAGGCTGCAAGATCCTCGAGGGTGTTTGTATTCTTCGCATTCTCCGAGTTAACGCCGGGGTGGCTGCAGCTTCGATTAAATTACGCTTCGATCGGAGTCGCGACGGACCGGAAAGTGAAATCTTTGAAATAACGGAAAAGTTTGGACAGTAATGGTTTTCTTCTGCTCGTCGAGACCGGCGCGCCTCGGATGGAGGTAGTTGATTCAAATTTAAACGATCGACCCGCGGGAAAGCTTTGTCGTGCAACGGGAGGCAAAATTTTTCCGCATTTTCGATGAATAGACGCGTTGAAAAATATATTCCATCGGACGGAATATCGAGGAAATGCGCGGTGACATGCCTCAGCGTGGAGGAATTTTCAGATGTCTCTGCTCGCCGCGCTCACCGGTGGAGAATTTATGGTTGTCATGGGACGTAAAAAAGGGGACATCCTTCCCCGGGATCTTTCCTTCAGCCGCGCGAGGAACGTTTCGCTTTCCGCTCGACCCGTCGCTCGTAAACGATTACGCCGTCTAATCGGGGCAAGCAATTTCGGAAAATGAACACCACTTCTACCCAAGGCCCTTGAGTAATTTGCGAAATAGCACCACGGAGGTCGAACTGCGAATAGTTTGCGCGGAATAACGAAATTTTCACCCTTCCGGATAATAATCGCCGAGTTGGAAATTTTATTTATTTCCATCGGCTGCGAACTTGCGAAATGAAATATAAACAACAGGTGTACACACAGCGATGGAAGGGCTCTTGTTTTCGGTTCAGGTTTCGATGTTTGTTGTTTCCCCACCCAACCATATTCCATTCGAAAGATTCAATCGCAAAACGCAGCACTGCGTTTTCGCGCTGATAAAATTAAAATTTCGCGACACGACGAAGGAACAATGTAATTTCGACCCTTGTAGTAGTTCATCGACCAATTCATCCTGTACCCCGGTTACGTATTCATCGTCGATGAACAAAAAGCTCGGGGTGCGAACTCGCAAGCTGGTGAACCCGAGAACGTCGACTTTAAAAGGTGTTAATTAAACGAGAGCAACTTCGGAGCGAAGAAGCGCTTCTACCTCGAAAACTCAAGGTTAATAAGCTCTAGCATTAGCCAGCTCGAGGTCAAGAAGATCAGCAGAGTCTCTGCGAATCGAGTCACGAGAAAGCCACTAGACCGAGAACTCGGTGATGCACGATATTCGATTTCGAGAGCGCGAGATTAAATCGTTCTTCAACCCCGGTATCGATTGCACGAGCGCAAGTTCGAGAAGCAAAAGCTCGAGGAAAGGATAAGGAAAAGCTCGGTGTCATTTGTGGGAAGTTGGCGCGCGGAAGGCTGCCGCGTCGAAACTTGCGAGTGATGCAAGCTGCGACCTTGCCAGCCGAAACTTTAACACCTTCGACCGTGAAACTAGAACCCTGGATCCCTGGGGGATGTTCAATTTCTCCGTAACTTTAAACACCGCGAGAACTTCGTACTCGATCTTCTCGTAAGATCGACAGGGAACTTTAATCGCTGGATCTCTCGCGAGGGACACGGGACGTGGGCCGAAATTGAGAAAAATTGGACGACGATGACGAATCGCGGGATTTTACGTGCGGGAAAAGCCCCGTTGCGTATACGTGTGGTTGACAGGCCGACATTTCAGCGTCGCACCGGCATCCACTTCCGCCGGCTGACTCCGACGTCCTATTTGCATAGGGATGCATCGCGGTGGCCGACGCGACGCGACGCGAAGCGCGAAGCTCGCGGCTGAAAAAGGAACAGGGCGTGGAAAAAAGTGGAAGAACAAAACGGGGGAAAGGAAGAGCGCAATAACTAGCCTGCATGACACGCCATGCCACGCGATCACAAGGACGACACGGTGGGTAAATGTTTCTACTCGCCGACTGGCCGCTTACCGTAATCTTCCTCGTAGATTATGGCTACCCTGGTCCAGTTTAAAAAGGACATGAGATCCTTGAAGGCTTTGTTCAAGTGGTCCTGCGAGGGATAGAGGTTTATACTGAACTCCTTGAACGTCGGCTCGAAGTCGACTCTGGCCTCCAGATGCGGGACGTCTAGTGCTTCGCAGATACTCTGGATGTGGGCGCCCAGGAGTGGGTCGGACGGCCCGAAGATCCCTTGGACAGACCTGGACAGCTGCTTGCACGCTGCAACAGGAAACACACCGATTCTGTTCAAACTTCTCCAAAGGGACTGGCACGCGAATTTCGCTCTATTAGGTTCTTCGTGCATCTCTTGGCCGCTATTCGCGACGGAATTGCGAGCACGTATACGGGTAAGCAGCCGGAAGCTGCTCCGCTGTTACGTAAACGGACTGGAGGCGGAATTTAGAAGGCGAGCTGGTAAACGGTAGAAAGAAGCGTGGAAATGGAAATGCGGGCAAGGGCTGCCGCTGACACGCCGATTTCATATTTCTCCCCGAGACACACTCGGGACACACCGGTATCGGGGAAACACACGTACAGGATCTCGTCCCTCGCCGTGTCCTCGCTACACCATTTCCTGTTAATCTTCTCGTAAACTTTCATCGCGGTCACAGCGCGAACTGGCGAGAAGGAGATTGACGTGCAACTCCGCAGCGTCCTCTTTTACCCTGCCGGCAAACAACTTGCTCGGCTACTTCCTGCCGGCGCGCCTCCATCGTTTACAGCGAGTTTAGCGGCGAAACGCGTACTTTACGGAACTTCCACCGACATTCTTTCCCTCGTTACGAACCTGCACGCTACAAACTCGCGAGATTTAGCCACACCTTTCGGTACGCGTTACGAGAACCTTCTTTTTCTCGACGAGCGTTCGAGCTTTCGCGATGGATCTCCGACAGAATTCGGGAAATTTGACGGAAAGTTACGGCGAGGCTAGAACCGGATGCGAGAGAATTTTCCACGCGTCGAATGTCACCCTGGCTAGTTTACGGATCAGAACGCGTCAAAGCCGCGATTCGCGAGGATTTTTCGAATCCAACCCCGGTTTTCCATCACAATAACGTCTCGTGATATTTTTCCATCGACTGCGTCCATATTCCACGCACGGCTCGCGTATTAATCGAGCATTCATGGGCTCGATAGAAGCGACGTGACCGTATGATTTACGAGGTCGATGTCTATACGAGCGTACGAACATCGCGGAAAATGGACAGGAAATTGATACGTTATCAGACCGACGGCTTCCTGATCCATTATCCGCGATATACCTTCGAACGGCTGTTCTCCTTTCGAAAAGGATCGCCTAGCACGCGTGCAAAGACCGGCCCGCCCGGCTTCAGGATAGAATGGATGTCTTCGATTTCGAAGGTGGGTTTTCGGTGTTCCTAAGTGTTCTACGTTTGTTCCCTGCCCGCTGAATTATTCTTGTCCCTATTTCTACCTTTTTCTTTATCTGTCAATCGCTATCTACTTCTGATTAATCGTTCATGCGTTTTCGTTAGCAGCTTCGCTTAACGCGCGATTGAAATCTCGCTTCGCAGATGATTACGTCGAATCGAACTCCATTATTTAAAATTTTCTCGAATACCCTTTCTTACGTATTCTTCCGTCTCCATTAAAAGCCTCGAGCGTCGCTTCTCGAGCTGTCAATGTTTAATTTCTACTGTTCTCAGTCTTTAGAAATCTTCAAAGCACTCTTTCAAAGTCCTTTTACGTTATTTGCTTCTCTCCTTGAGTAAAGAAAGTACGCTTATGTTAGGAGTTGGTTAAGAGGTTGACAGATCGATGAGACAGGTTTAGTACTTTTCCAAATTTTCAATAGTATGTGTATAGGAATGCTAGGGTTTGAGAGTGAATGCAAGGTAACACTTGGATCTACCTAGCTGATGATGAACAATAAACAGCAGCCTAGGCCAAATGTCAAGGGTGACTTCTGCAATGCACGTGGAGGGACGAGTGACAGCGTGCAAGGATCGGATGAACGGGATTTTTCTGACTGTATCGAGTGGGAACAAGGAGCGAAAGTTAGGAATCTGAGTCTGAATGTTTGGAGTACCTGGTCCATCGAGGGCCAGGTCGCTAAGAAGACGAGGAAACGAGAAAGAAAGCATGCGTATGCTCAGGAGACAGTAGGTTTAAATAGGGGTGCAAGAGCTGTCTTAGGAATCCTGTACGGAGTTTGAAGATGAGTCCATGTACGAGTGTTAGTTGCGTGATCATAGTTCAATTATAGTCTTTTAGTTTATACCTTACTCCTAAGTCCCTTTTAGCTCGTAATAAATAATATATTAGAATAAACCAACATCTATTCCTTATATTTGCCAATCAAAAGTATTCCTACACGTGAACATTGGTGCGCACGGTGGAAATTTTGCGGCCCGTTTACATGGATGCGACAATGTTACTGGGATGCGGTCTAATTTAAATTAATAGAGCTTGACCTGGTTAGGGGTGAACTAAAGAGTTCTGTGGTTCTCTTGCGCTGAGTTGAGTGTCATGGGTCTTGACTAATGGTCTGGTCGCGATGCTTGTCTTCTTCTTGGCTTGTTGGAGACTCTTCTGCTGACTGCTGTCTCGGTGGTTTTATACGCCTTGTATGGCCACCGATTGGCCAGTGCGAAATGCAAGTGGTGGTTGTACGTCTTCCGATTGGTTGTTAATAATATTATGAATAATATCGATCAAACAATTTGGCGCTCATTGTCTCAGGAATAATTTACCAACCCTTATCGATAATCACCAAAGCAGTGACCAGTGACACAAGGACACAAAGCAGCCTCCGCGAAGACTTGGGAGGTGTGGTTCTATGACCACGACACCATCTAACTCGAGCCAAGATTGTATATCTTATCACTTTTACATTACTTTCTACTCGTAGGTATGAAATAAGAATGAACGCAATAATTGAAAATTTTAATACTTCGAATCTTCGAAGATGTCGAAGGGATTTCCAAGGCTGAAGTTTCTTAGATACAGAGAAATTCGAATACCACCGCTGCTGCGTTCAACCTCGGAAACTACATTCGTCCAAGAGGATAAGTCGTTGTAGCGACAAGAGTCGTCCGATCGATTTTCAACGAGGCTCCTCCAGCCTCGAGATCCATCAGTCCTGTCGTCGTGCAATCGTAATTCTATTTGGAGTCGTTGGTTTGCGTGTCGTCGAGGACGTGGCGAAAATTCCGGATCCACGGGCGAAACGGAGACAGCCAGTCGCCCCTGCGACTCTTCCATCGCGAGTGACTCGAGATTCCTCGTCGTCGTTGCCCTCTTGATTAAGTCGCATTCTCGACGTGGGTAAATAAGTCTCGTTACTTCGTTACGGTGTTGCTCTTCCAGTTAACGAACCGGTACTGCCTCGCGTCGCGACGCATCAAATGCCTCGAATGATCAGTCATCAGCCGGGTCGCTTCCGTTTCCGACCTCTCCAAGCGGAGCACAGCCTCGGGGAAAGTCTCGAGGATGCTCGAGGTTCGCGCGAACAAGACTAATAATCTACTTACCTCGGCTTCCAAACGGTAAATAAGACATTTTTTCGTCGCTACGACAGCCACTTTACGGCGAACAGGTGACTTTGCTCGATTTTTCCCCGACCGCTTTTCCAGTTTGTTTTCCCGTTAAACCGTTCTCGCTGAAATTGATCCGACGTTTCGTATACATTCTCCAGTAACCGCAACGATGTTACATTTATTATTCAACGATCGATAATTCGGTACACAGGAGGCAGGACAATACCTCCGTGTAACGAAAGTGCCGCAAGCCCGTGATCGATCGGGTAAAATGCAAGACGAGTCAGGGTTTAGTATTTTTCCAAATTTTCAATAGTATGTGTATAGGAATGCTAGTGTTTGAGAGTGAATGCAAGGTAACACTTGGATCTACCTAGCTGATGATGAACAATAAACAGCAACCTAGGCCAAATGTCAAGGGTGACTTCTGCAATGCACATGGAGGGACGAGTGACAGCGTGCAATGATCGGATGAACGGGATTTTTCTGACTGTATCGAATGGGAACAAGGAGCGAAAGTTAGGAATCTGAGTCTGAATGTTTGGAGTACCTGGTCCATCGAGGGCCAGGTCGCTAAGAAGACGAGGAAACGAGAAAGAAAGCATGCGTATGCTCAGGAGACAGTAGGTTTAAATAGGGGTGCAAGAGCTGTCTTAGGAATCCTGTACGGAGTTTGAAGATGAGTCCATGTACGAGTGTTAGTTGCGTGATCATAGTTCAATTATAGTCTTTTAGTTTATACCTTACTCCTAAGTCCCTTTTAGCTCGTAATAAATAATATATTAGAATAAACCAACATCTATTCCTTATATTTGCCAATCAAAAGTATTCCTACACGTGAACATTGGTGCGCACGGTGGAAATTTTGCGGCCCGTTTACATGGATGCGACAATGTTACTGGGATGCGGTCTAATTTAAATTAATAGAGCTTGACCTGGTTAGGGGTGAACTAAAGAGTTCTGTGGTTCTCTTGCGCTGAGTTGAGTGTCATGGGTCTTGACTAATGGTCTGGTCGCGATGCTTGTCTTCTTCTTGGCTTGTTGGAGACTCTTCTGCTGACTGCTGTCTCGGTGGTTTTATACGCCTTGTATGGCCACCGATTGGCCAGTGCGAAATGCAAGTGGTGGTTGTACGTCTTCCGATTGGTTGTTAATAATATTATGAATAATATCGATCAAACAATTTGGCGCTCATTGTCTCAGGAATAATTTACCAACCCTTATCGATAATCACCAAAGCAGTGACCAGTGACACAAGGACACAAAGCAGCCTCCGCGAAGACTTGGGAGGTGTGGTTCTATGACCACGACACCATCTAACTCGAGCCAAGATTGTATATCTTATCACTTTTACATTACTTTCTACTCGTAGGTATGAAATAAGAATGAACGCAATAATTGAAAATTTTAATACTTCGAATCTTCGAAGATGTCGAAGGGATTTCCAAGGCTGAAGTTTCTTAGATACAGAGAAATTCGAATACCACCGCTGCTGCGTTCAACCTCGGAAACTACATTCGTCCAAGAGGATAAGTCGTTGTAGCGACAAGAGTCGTCCGATCGATTTTCAACGAGGCTCCTCCAGCCTCGAGATCCATCAGTCCTGTCGTCGTGCAATCGTAATTCTATTTGGAGTCGTTGGTTTGCGTGTCGTCGAGGACGTGGCGAAAATTCCGGATCCACGGGCGAAACGGAGACAGCCAGTCGCCCCTGCGACTC